TCTGACCCCAGAACTCACCTTCCTCTCCTGGTTTAGCTTCCTCTTCCCCAAGTGGTTATCTAGAATCTTAACAGACAGCTGTTTTTTTTTCTGATGTCACTTCTCAAAAGAAAACAGTGTCTGCTTCGCAGCTCTAAGCCCACTGTGGCAAGGATGTGGGAGGCAGCAGACTGGGACAGGGCTCAAGCCACCCCGCACCTTTGGTGCATGGGTACCACGTGACATGGCCCTGTGCTCAGGAACATGGGCATCAGAGACAGGACCACTGGGGTTGGAGATCTGGCCATAGCTTGGACGAGTCACTGGTCCTCTCTGCATCTCTGATTCCTTTCCTGTCAAAAGGTATTGCTGTCAGTTGTCTCTGGAGGGACTTCTAAGGACAATGAGATGGTGCAGATGAAGCCTGACACGTGAAACAGCAACATGTGAGGCAAGAGGAGTTTGGGGCACGCCGATGCAGCATGTGTTTGCCATGAACAGCATTGCAGGGATTGGGAAAACCTTAAAGACAGGATCCTGAGATCCCTGATCCCAAGAGAGGTGGGAACCAGGCAGTCAACCAGGACCACGCTGGGGTTCCAGCCCCTGCTCACTGTCTCCTGACTTTGGGGCCTGGGAATGCTTGGTGAGAAAAGGGAACCCCCTACACGCCCTGGATAGTACAGCCCACCCCAACCTGTGTTATGGTGTTGTGCAGGTGACTTGGAGTCAGAGTACGAGAGGCTCTAAATCCTCACTTCCCTCACCAGCTTGGCCATCACCCATGCGTGGAGTCCAGGGCCTTGGTGCAGGTGGTCCAGTGGGGAGGGGTTCCTGCTGATGCCTTTGGCCCATCTCCAGGCAGGCTGCTTTTATACCAGCTGATTTGATCAGGGAGCATTTCCTAGGACCTCACCCTCCTCCAAAAAAAACAAAAAGAGAGCACTTGATTGGCAGAGTCTGGATGAAGAGTGCACTTGATTAATGTTTTAACTGGGTAGGTTTTCACGGTGGCCTGGCTAGCAGTGTCCAGTGCTGGGTCGCCCTTTGCTATTAGGGAAAACTGGGCAGGGATTAAAGCAGGATATAGAAGCGGCGCCTCCTCTGGTTTCCATCTGTGTAGTAGCATGGATGCCACTTGCTCCCGGCCCAACCAGCAGGCTGCTCCGAAGGGGAGCCTGGTCACCCCTCCTTGGCCCAGGGCTTGTGAGTAGTGGTCTTTCTGGGAGTTCACAGACTTCGTGTTCCAGGCCAAAGCAGAGATGCAGTACGAGTGCACATCTGGTACTTTGTGTTTCCAGTAGAGATGTAACTGAGGGTCCTTTCGGTGTTCAGCTAGTACAGTAGTTAGGTTAATGAGAATGCCAGACCTGCCATAAGCAGGGCTCCATGACTGGGGCGGTAGCCATCATCTCTGTTGATACATCCTATTGGTTCTGTCCCTCTGAGGGATCCTCAGTGTGCCTTACTAAGTTCCAATCACTGTGGAATTCGACACTGCTTGTCTAGTGGCCACTGTTTGTAAGGCTCTGTGTTTGGCACTGAGGGTGCAGAGAGGAACAGAACAGACAAGGCCCATATTTGTGCACTTACATCTGGGATAGGTACTGCCACAAGCAGACAGACCCCAGACAGACCTGTCTTAGAGCTCCAAGGCTCCACAGACCAGGCTGCCAAGTGCAGCCACACCCCTCCACTTTAATCACATGTTTTGCACCAAAGCCTTCTGCTCTCAGCTTCCTGTTCACCTTTTTCCTGTAATGCCTTGCACAAAATAAGAGCTTGATAAGTATTTATGTGATTACACAGCAGCTGGTGGTATGTATGTAAAATAGACTGAGTAGATGACTTTTAGGTGCTGGGCACCAGTGGATACACTGGGGACAGCTGTGCAGAGACCGGTCTCTTAGCCTCCCTGGAAGGTGGCCCCAGGTGACCTGTGGCAGGATGCAAGGCGGAGGCCTGCTCAGGAGGTAGTACAGTGGACAGGTGTGGAGTCAGCCCAGGAGGCTCCTGAAGGAGGCCGTGTCTCTACAGGAGACAGTGTTGGCCATGCAAGAGGTGGTAACCATATGCAAGAATGCTGAAGTGCGCCATGGTCCAGGGCGTGCAGAGGCAGCAGACTCTTCAGTGTCGCAGCAACACTTGGTGGAAGGTGGGGGGCAGTGGCGAGAGTGGCCTGTCTGAAGGAGCCCAGACCCTCCTTGATAGGAGGGCATTGCATTTTTAAGTGTGCATTTTCCACCAGCGGTTCTGTCTGCTCTGTGGAGGACTGCTCTAGCACGTGAGAGAAGAGGTAGAGAAAGAAAAGAAGATCCCGATGGTACTTGGGCTCGGGACCAGAAACCAGAGCTAATTTGGGAGAATTTGATGGGATGTCTGGCTGGCAGCTTTCAGGCCTTGACCCCCAGGTCCCCTTCCAGAGGCCTGTTCTGTCCCCAGCTGAGTATCTTGCCCAGGAGGAGTCAGAGTTGTCCTTGCATTGGTTGGTCCTCTCCCAGCTCACACCCTGCCATGTGGTCCTGTGGGTTGCCTGTTTCTCCCAGCTTCTCTGTGCCTTCCCCTCACTCATCTCTTCAGATATTTGTTGACTCCCCACAGTGTGCCAAGTGCTTAGACCATGTGATGCTGAGGAAAGAAGCAGTCTGATCTTCTAGGGAGTCAGACCCTAAAGCTGTCAACATACAGTGGGTCAGTGGCTATACTGGCTGTGGAGGAAAAGAACCCAATTTAGCTTTACTTTAGGGCTAGCCCAGGTTCTTTGACAGGGTTCCTGAGTGTACTAGACATTGAAAGGAGTCTGCAGTGGCTAGAGCACCCCTCCCAGGCCACGGTGTGTTTGTGACAAGGGCGGACAGCTAGCTCAGACTGGCTTCAGCAAACGCCATCATGTTGGCTGACAGGGGCAAAGTTAGCTCTGGGCAAGTCCAGCTCAAGACCTCCACCTACAGGTATCACCAGGATTTGGCCTTCCCTGTCTGTCCCCAGCTCAGTTTCCATCTTATCTGAGGCCCCTGGTGACATGAGGCTTCTGGTAGCCCCAAGATCTTATGTCATCAGCTCAACAATCCTAGCAGAAAGCATGTCTTCCCTGGTACTCCTAAAAAAGGCCTGGTGTATTCACATGCCAGTTCCTTGGGGCAGGCAGTACTGTCCGTATCAGGCCTGGAGCCAGGCCAAGGGTGGGCTGGTTCCCTAAAGAAGATGAAGGTTGAGAGGATGCTGAGCTAGCTGAAACCCTGGCTCCTTCCTGTGTTGCAGAGCCAAGGAGTGGGATACAGAGTGGGGCTGGGCTTATGGGGTACCAGGATCCCTGGCGGCAGATGTGATACAGATAAGCTCTGCTCTGGCCCCAGAGTCTCTCCACCGTTTGTTTGGTTTCATTACTTTCCAACAGAGGCACATTCATTTGTTCATTTATTCATTGGCATATGTCCAGGGACATGGGGGCTTAGGGAAGTAGGGAAGGAAAGCCTGATTAGAGATCCTTCCGCCCCCTGGTGGCACCGGGGTCCTGTGCATGTCATTTGCCTCAGGCCATGCTTGGTGAGTCAGACTCAGGTGGACTCATACAGTGGGGCTAGAGGGACGTGGTGTCAGGAATGTCATCACCAGTGGGCTGCTTGTCTGCAATGTGGGCCCCAAGGAGTGGGTTTAGGGGCTGGGGACTGGATGGGGTTTATTTGGTTGCCTTGGTACTACTGTCCTTTCCTTTCCTCCAGCATGCAGTGATCACAGTCACCACACCACACCCCCCAGTCTCTGTACATCTACCTTCATCCCCTCTCCTCAAATATCTTTTCTTAGATACAATGCTTCCCAGGTCCTGAGCCCAGCCTCACCCCTACTCCATCACCCTAAGCACTGTGTCCCTGAGCCTGCTGCTGTCCCTGACAGCAGTGCCCTGCCTGAGCGCTCCCTTGTGGTAATGCTGTGCTCATGCACACTTCCTAGGGTGGCATCTGACTCCCAGGACAGGGCCTCAGGAGACCAGGGCTGGACTCAATCCTGCCTGCCTCGAGACACCAGGACAGAGCACACAGCACACACCCACCAGATTACCAGCTCCTGTGCCACAGCCCACACCACATCCTCTGTGCCATGAATGAATGGTAGAGGAGGCCATGAGTGTACCCCACTTGTAGGGCTCCTTGGTTTCTACCCAGGGTGAGGCCATGAGGCTGTAGGAGCTGGACCTCTCCTAGGGTCCAGGTGGTCCGTCAGCGTGCACCAGGGCAGCAGCAGGGGCTTCCTGAGCAGGGCTGAGTGGCCAGGGGCTGGGGCTGGCCAGGAGACATGGTATCACGTGGCAGCCACAGGTTGCGTTACTCTTGTCAGTTGGCCAAGCATCCCAAAGTGTTTCTTCCTTCCTTCCCAGCAAGGAAGGACTGTCAAGGTAGACTCTAAGACTTAGCAAATCCACAGATCCTTTCTTTCATCATCCTGTGGAGACCCAGGCCTGATGTTGGGATTATTCACCAAGTGACCTTTCCAGAGAGATGAGCCACATGGCCAGAGGCTGCAGCCTGGTCACCCTCTGACCTGCAGACTTAAAAAACGGATAACAAGGGCCTGGGATTTAGCTTAGTGGTGCCGCCGCCTGCCTCGAAAGCACAAGGTCCTGAGTTTGATCCCCGGTACCAAAAAAAAAAAATTGGCTTAAAAAACGATAACAACTAGGTCCCGATCCCCGGGACCAAAAAAAAAAAAAAATACCCGGATTAACAACTAAATTTGTTTTCAAACTTTAGAATTCAGGAGATGCCACATAAAGATCTGGGACGGCAGCTTCCCAGCACAAAGAAAGGGGCACAGATCATGTATTCAGTGTTGTGTTTTTCCCAGCTGATCACATACATTCACATCCCCAGGAAGAAGCTGTTGTAAGCCATTTGATGTTCTGTGGAATTACTAGTGTCTGTTTATGTATGTATATTTTTAACTGATTGCAAACAAATTTAGCTTTGTTTGTTGTGTGAACATAGTGTTGGGGGGAAAAAAACTAATTTTTCTTTTTGCAGAAAAGCCTGCCATTGCTCCGCCCGTCTTTGTGTTTCAGAAGGATAAAGGACAAAAGGTAAGGGGCCGGTATGTTCTCTTCTCACACCATTTCTCCAACTTGCTCTCTCCCAGAGAGCCTGCTCTCCGGGTTACTTGTCCAGGGCAGCTGCTGCCCACCAATGGGGTGGCCCAAGCAGGGGCCTTGACGCCTTCACCTCAAGCTGGGAGGGAAAGGCCCAGTGGCTTTGGGTTTCCCTGGAAAGGGCTCAGAGCACATGGCTTTGGAAAGGGTTGTGACTTCCTTGGATGCCCAGTGATTTGTTTTAGAAATGCCAGTGTGTGTTAGGAAAACCACAGCAGAGGAACGGAATAGGAAGAGACGGTGAAAGGAAGGAGAGAATGGGGGGGGGAGGAAGGAGAACAGTGGTGGTTAGGGGGAAACAGAACCTGTAAAGATTTCCGGGATGTCTGGAGTGAGTTCAGTGGGTTCCATCCGGCATCACCACACATTTTAGGGCGATGATATGCCCCACCCAATGTGGCATCGATGCATTGAGAATGGTAATGAGTTTGTTTGCATATTTGTCCCATTGCTCTTGGATTCTCGTGTCCAGTGTGCACTGTCCTACAAGGACCCGACATGGTGAGCGGTGGTGAGCGGCAGACCCTCGGGGGTCTGAGTGTCTCCCAGCAGACCCCGGCATGAGATAGCAGCTACAGACGCTGCTGTTTACTGTGAAGCCATTGCTTTATACCTCACCCTGCAAACCAGGGGCAAGGTCGTGTCAGAGGGTATTTGGTGCCACACAGCAGTGACGACTAGCTCTTGTGACTCTTGACTATCTCAGATTCGTAGGGTCCCTCACCCCTGATGTCCCTTGACCTGAAAGCGGTTGTGATTTAGTACCTCTTGCACTATTTTATAGCAACAAAGCAGTGCACTAAAACAGGGATTCTGAGGTATATTTGTATTTTGTCAAGAATGACAGGGGCCAGGGATTTAGCTCAGTGGAGCCGCTGTCTGCCTCGCAAGCACAAGGACCCAAGTTCGATCCCCGGTAAAAAGAGTAAGAATGATGGGGTTTGAGTGTCTCGTCGTCATGCTTGGTGGATTCCCAGGCCTCTTTGGGGGTTCCTTTCCCAGTGTGGGAGTTTCTATGGGTCTGTCTGGTGATTTGGGGCTCCTAGGAGTTCAGCTGCTATTCTTAGATCCTGCCCCTTGGTCTGAGAAGAGAAGCCAAGGCTTCTTTCTCATTATGTGGCCTGATTTTCCCAGGCAGTGTTCCAGAGATCTGCCAGGAAAGGGTGGGGGGGAGAGAAAGGAAAAGAAACAAGAGGGTAGTGGCTGCCCTGACCCCCACCTTGCATGTACTTCTGTGCTTGCCTGGCCAACATCTGTTAGCCCTGTAATTTTAACTGCTTAGCCTCTTCTCCATTAGACTTTCCTGTTGCTAATTGTTCTGGTGAAGAAAGAGGGAAGCTGCCTGTGAAAGCTTTCTTCCAGTGCTTTGGTGACCTAGGAAGGGTTTCCACAGTACTGTCATGTCTCTCTCCTGGGTTCTGACAACATGACTGAAGTCCACCCATTCTCAGTGTTTGTCCTTTGGAAGACTGATAAGTGTGAAGGGGCTTTAGTTTGCAAAACAGAATAATAAATAAAGTCTTAGTAATTGGATGTGTTTTAGGTACCCAGGACATTTTTTTCCAGTGTTTAGTAAAATTGAAACTTTTCTAGAATTTTGGATTTCATTATGATGGTTTGGACCAGTTTTAGTTTAAAACAGAGATCAGCAAACTAAGCAGCCCCCCACCATTGCCTGTTTTTGTAAACAGTAGTATTGGAACATCTTCTCCTTTGTGGTCTCCTGCCCACTTGGCAGCAGAGTATGGACAGAGACCATGCAGCCTGCAAAGAGGAAGGTAGTTAGAATTGGGTGTAGCTCAGTGGTAGGATACATGCTTAGCAAGCACAATGCCATGGGTTCCATCCTCAGCACTAAGAGAAAAAAGGACGTTGAATATCTTTCTGACACTTTGGAGAAAAAAAGTTTGTCAGTCCCTAATTTAAAGCAACTAAAGGAGTTAATTCTTTAAACATGAAGACTTTAGGACAGCTAGCAAGATGAAACTAAAATGTAATATTTGTCCAGATGAATTTAAAGTGCTTTAAAAATCACTAGTTCCTAGGTCAGGACTGTTTTCACAGCTAAGGGTGTTTGCCCGGAGGACATGAAGACCTTTAAGAGGTTTATACAAATTATCTTTTGTGTGTGTGTGTGGTACCAGGGATCGAACTCAGGACCTTGCACTTGTGAGGCAGGCGGCGAAACCACTGAGCTAAATCCCCAGCCCCATATACGAATTATCTTAAAGGGTTGGCTTGAACTTGAACCAGAACAGTAGCTAGAAAGACTTCCTAGTCATTTAAGAAATGTGCAAGGGTTCTTATCAAAGTATTGACTGGAACCAATTCCAAGTAGATTTCTAAAAATAACTGCCCTCTAGCTCTTAGCACTCAGTGCTGACTTCCACCTTCTGTGAGCTTCAGCAGCAAGATCCGAAGGACACACTGCCTCATCTCTGTGTTGAGGGCAGAGCTGGAAGCCCACGGCTGGGTCAGCCCACTGTCCACATGGTGCAGTCTGCCATCCCTTCCTTGCTTCTTGTGCACTCAGAGTAAGGCAGAGAAGGTGAGCATAGTGGGGCAGGTATCTGTCTGGCCTGGCCTCTCTTTGGCTTCCTAGCACAAGGGTCACAGGAAGACAGGCCTATGAGGAACAGCCATGATGATAGTGTTTTGTTTTGTTTTGTTTTGTTTTTGAGAGAAGGTTTCACTATGTAGTTCAGGCTGGCTTTGAAGTCACTATGTAGCCCAGGCTGGCCTCAAACTTGTGACAATCCTCCTACCTCAGCCTCCTGAGAGCTGGGATGACAGGTGTGCACCCCCATGCCAGGCTTAGCCACAGAGTCTCTGTCAAAAACAAGAGTCCAAGACCATTTCCCCTGACAGAGACCATCAGCCCCTTCCCGTCTTACTACAGAAGCCAGCCTGGAGAAATGGGCTGTAGGGGATCTTTAGCAGGCTCTTTATCTTTTTTCACCTTTTTGCCTCAACATTTTATTTTTACATTTTTGAAATTTTATTTTCAAAATTCTCAAGTACATGGAAAAGACAAGAATGCACTGGGAGCATTAAGGTATCCTTCACCTGACTTCACTGTGGACCTTTCTGTCATAATTGCCCTGGCTATACACTGTGCCCATGTGGCATTTCCCTCAGATACTTCCACAGGTGTCTCTGAGCTATAGGGCTCCCGTGGCTGCTAGACCTGCAGTGGTCGTGAATTCAGTAATAGCCTTAAATATATGGCCCATATTTTGAATTGTTCCTCTGATGTCCCTTCTGGCAATTTTCTTAACTTTTTGATCCCTAAAATCAAGAATTCCCATTGTCCACTGTGGGAGCTACTAGATAGTCTCAAACCACCGAGTTGGGGATGTATCAAAGAACCCACTGCTGACTGGTGCCTGAGGTAAGGATTTGAGAAAGAAAGAACCTAAACTGCCAGCCCAAGAGTTTCTGTTTTTGTTCAATGACAGAGCCACCCAGAGTGCCCTGCGGAGGCCAGTGCCATCACTTAGCTTTGGGACGAGTTGCTAGATCCTTCTGTTGTTCCATGTTAGAAAAAATGGCGAGTAATTTTAATTCCGGTCCTGACACGTAAGGAGACTCCATGGCCAGTCAAACAGCACCAGGATACTTCCCTGTGCTGGTGCCACCAAGACAGCGCTTCCTTGAAACATGGGCTTGCATGTGTGGCAGTGTGTGTGGGGGGGGGGAGCTTTCTTTCCAAACTGCCTTGAATGGAGACAGTGATCTTTATCTTTTTCATGGGAAATGAGTTTAAGTTTCTTTATATGGGTTGCTTCATGGTTTCTGGTTGACCGAGTGCTGCTTTTAGTGGTGTCCCTTTGGAGCATTTCTTAATGTCCTGGAGGGATTTCAAGGTCACCCTGGCAAGGATGATGCCATTTGATAAACAGAGACAGTTGCAGAAGGGCTGCGGAACAGAAGCCATAGTGTCACCGAAGACCCTGTCCTGTCCTAGTATGTTTGATACTTACTGTCTGGGGGACAGGCTTGCCACTTGTATTTTCTGACGGTCAGGCATATTACAGAGTTATGTAGAAGGCTTAGCACCTGATCCTTGCCTGGAAGAAAATCTAGGACCCAAATTGGAAGATGAAGAAAGGGTGTTATGTTAATTCTCCAAGAAATTTGCTCAATCTGTGAGAGAAGTGATACTATATTTCTCAGCACTTTTAAGAATTACTCATTTTTGGGCCGGGGATTTAGCTCAGTGGTTCCGCTGCTGCCTCGCAAGTGCAAGGACCTGAGTTTGATCCCCGGTACCAAAAAAAAAAAAATTACTCATTTTTAACCAAAGATGAAGCGTTTGACCTCATTTTGGGCCTCCTCCCTAGGCTTGCCCCTTAAGCCTGTCATTCGGTGTTTGAGCATTTACACTCCGAAAGCAGGGGTTAAAAAAAATGCAAGTGGTTCTCATTAAAGACAGGCAGCTGCCCACAGAGCTCTGGGTTTAATTTTCCCTGGTGAGGTGTTAAATCTGTGTCATAAAGTAGCAGCAGATGTTGGTGGCTGGACTGACCACCGTGCCCCTCAGAAGGCCTCTGTGTCCCTGGACGTCCCCTGGAGAGAAGAGTTGACAGTGCACCTTTGGTGACTTAAGACACAGGAATGAATTAATGTTGGATTGCTTTGCCTTTCCTAAGAATTTTTGGAAGTTCTGTTAAATCCTCTTTACATAGATCATTTCCTTCTACAATATCATACACTTCAAAATAGTGCCCCCCCCCCAAAAAAAAGTAGTGCCCAAGCTGGGTGCCATGACGATGCTCTTCTAGTCTCAGCTACTCAGGAGGCTGAGACAAGAAGATCTCCTTGAGCCCAGGAGTTTGAGCCCAGTCTAGGCAACATGGTGAGAACCTGTCTCAAAAAAAAAACCAGAGCAAAACAGCAGTGCCCTTTCTAGAAGGGAGTCACTTCACACTTAGAAGACACGAAAACATATCACCAGGGAGATAGGGTAGCCCCGTAGTCAACTTAGGTCACCAAGTGAGAGAAGCCGCTCTGCATATTTGCAGTGTTGCATGGGAGGTTTGGGGACCAAGCCCCCTGTCAGGCCAGCAGGTGTATAAGCCACTTCTCCAGAAGAGAGTCTTCATGTGGTGGTGATAGAGCTCTCAGCCCATGGAAGAATCCCATGGCTGCCTTGGAGTTCCAGGGTGTTAGACCTTGGGGACAAAGACTTCCAGAAGCAGCTTTCTCTTGCTTTGGCATTTTCCCCGTAAGCTCTTTCTTGGATTTGGGGGGGTGAACCTGGAGAATCCCAGGCCCAAGGGACTCAGGGTATGAGCCAGACCCTCTACCAGCAGAACTCCTCCTCGATACACCGGATCAGGCCAGAAGGACAGTGTCCCCTCTAGTTTGAGCCTGCAGGCAGGAAGGCACAGTAAGAATGGCACTGAGCTGCAAGGCCCCTGACTTGTGGGTCCAGGTCTTACCCCCCCTCCCCAGGGGGTATTTATAAGGATAAAGCATAACCATTTCCTTTCCTTGTCCCCCAGGAGTGTTTTTCTCCCCTCAGGGGCCATAAGCAGAGTAGCTCCATGCCCAGGTGCCCCATAGTTTTGAAACAAAAGAGCCAGATTTCCTAGATTCCTCAGAACCCCTTGCAAAATCCAACAGCAATGAGTCTGTTTTCATCTTCCCTCTGTTGCCTCCAAGTCCCAGTTTTGTTACTCAAAGCGCAGAGGCAAATAGATGCTGGCTCTCTGGCCCGCCCTCCCCAGGGTCAAGCCATCTCCAGCTCCCCTGCCCAGGCCCCTGCCCCACCCTCCCCTGCCCTGTGCTGCAGCTTTTGTTTACATTGAAGGAAAATTGTCTTTTTTGCTCCCAGTCATCTGCAGAGCAAAAAGACTTGTCGGATTCGGGAGAGGAGCCTCAGGGGGAGGCTGAGGCCCCCCACCATGGCACGGGTCACCCCGAGTCAGCTGGCCAGCGTGCCCTAGAACCTCCTGCCCCTGATAGCACTTCGGCCAGCACTCCTCCACCTCCCGCTCCTGAAGCCCAGCCTCCTTTTCCTCGAAAACTGTCAGGGGTAAGTCTGCGGCACCCTGCCCACCTGCTGCCCAGGGGACCTCCAGGCTGGCCACTTCCACTGGGTCCCCCCCCAGCTCAGCATACACCGATGATGATCAGAGGCGACAAGAATTTCTTTAGCTCTCCTGGACTCTTGCTGCTGAACAGTCAGGCAAGATTAAGTCTCTTTTTACATTTAGACTTTTTGATTTGAGGACTCTGTACCCATAGCCAGAGAGTAATCCTGCTTCCTCGGAGACATGAGGGATCAGAAGATGAATTGAGTAGCAGGTAGAGCTTTGCAAGTCACATTGGAGCCCCTCTTGCTTTTTCCCTCCTTCCTTGAAATTGGCCCTTTCCATCAGTGCCTTAGACATCTAGGGAACTCCGGGTTCCTGATCTCAGGCAGAAGAGTGGTGGAGCCGGAGTGCATGGCCAAGCTGGCTGTGGGTTTCTGGGGAAGAAGAGATGAGCCTCTGGGTGCAGAATGGGCCCTCATGCCCCTCTTCTGTGTATAACAAAGGCTCTTGGAGATGGATGAGGAGAAGATTGTGAACTCTCAAAAGCAAGAATATCTCTGGTTTTTGAAGCCTGATAAACTGGGAAAGGAAAACATCCTGAGTTCAGGATTGAAACTCCATCCTTTGGGTGTCTAGTGACAGAAGACTGCTGCCGTCCCGACAGAGAAAAGGTCTCATGACAAGGAAACGGGCCTGGCTGTTCTTTCAGCACAGTCCCAGACATCCCAGACTGGAGTGATTCCTTCCTGTGTTTAAGGATACTATTAGGATTCAGGTACAGTCACCGAGCCCTGGGTCAGGCAGGGAGAAGCGTTTGGAGTCCTGTTATAGTGTTTTGGAAGAATAAGTGATGGGAAGTGGGCTTAGGTAAGGAGATAGGCTCAGAAGTGAGAGTAGCTCCCGAGAGCTTTTGAGTCAGACTTTGGGAGTTATCCAGACTTCAGTCTTTGAGAGCACAGTGAAAGGCTAGGTGGCCGCAGATGAGCAGGTTTCACTGCAAGAGCAGCCAGCAGGTCAGTGGTGCAACTTTTGTGAAGGCGGCAGCCCTCCCCGAGCACACAGGCCCTGGCGCTGCTAACAGAAGCTCTGCAGGAAGTGGGCCTCACCTTCCCTGGTCCCTCAGACCTGGCCAGTCCAAGGCAGTGGCCTGTGACTGGGGACACTGCCTTCCTGATTCCTGTGGCCTTCAGGGCAGAGCCTCTAATCCTGAGAAATGCAAGCAGTCCCCACACTGGCAATGGAATGGGAGCATCCTGGCAGGGAGCCTCGGGCTGAGTTAGGGCACTATGCAAGGCACTGCAGGACTCTGGGGAGCAGGTTGTAAATGGCACCAGTGTAACCCTGAAGACCAGATGTGCAGCATTTGCACATGCAAGTGCTAGCACTCATGACTTGGGAACATCCAGGAGCAGCACTGTCATGCCACTTGGTGACAGCTGTGAGCCACAGGCTCGCTGACTCAGGCTATCCACAGAAGAACTTGGCTGGTTGCTAATGGCTCCCATTGATTGGCTGTCTCTACTGATTGGGCACATTCAGGGCAAACTTAATTTTCAATTAGGTCAGATGGAACCCAGTCCCACCACTTCTTGGGCCAAGGTTTTTCTCTGGTGAACTTGGGTTGTTTCTTTTGCACCTTAACAGATTTGGATTTTGCTCTGCCCCACATTGGAGCTTAGGAAACCACATACCACTCTCCAGCAGGTCTCATCCATCACGTTGAGCCTATTCTCTGTTCCACGATCCCTGGGGAAACATAAAGCCAAACGTTCTTTATAACAAATTGCAGCTTCCTTACAAAGGGCCCTTATTGGTCTTTTAGCATGGTCAGAGCGCTGACCTTTGAGGACCCAGTTCCAGGAAAAAGTCTTTATACATCAGATTTCCTGGCTCTCGGAAGACAGCCTGAAGAGAACCAAACCACATGTGGATCAAGTTCTCTGTCTGATGCTGAGAAGGCACATGGCACTCTCAGCTTCTTATGCACCTGCTAGCACCGTGCAGGACTGAACTCCACGCCAGGGGCCTGCCAAGCTCCAAGCATGTTTATTGGACCCACCAGGGAGCTTCAGAAGGGCCAGGAATGAGCCCCCTGGCCTGACCACTGCCACACGGGACCTGACACACACACACACACACACACCCCCATGCAGACCTCTGGGGGCAGCCTCTTCCGGAAGCATTTCTGAGCTGGTTGCCCTGGTGACAGAATAAACAGTACTGAAGTGGCCTGACGTCTGCTTTCCATCTGAGACTATATTCTCCTGCAGCCACAGGAACCTCAGGTGGCTTTCTAGCTGGTCAGTCCACGTGGAATCCACTGAGGCTCTGTCAGGCCCGGTGGTAGCTGCTGCTTCCTGCAAGGCTTATCTGGCCTGGCTGTGCTTTCTGGCCTTTTCTGGCCCTTCTTTCTTGCTCATTGCCTGTTCCTCTTTGTAGAGTCAGCTTCTGACAGCAGCCTTTAGCTCCGTCCCCTTCCCTAGGCCAGCCTGGCTTGTCCCCATAGTCCTCCCCAAGGCCACACCTGATAGCCTCAAGAGCTGTGTTTGTGGAGCGAGCAATTCTTGATGTCCAATCACACTGTTCACCATTTTGCCCTTCACACAGAGAATGGATTAGATGTGATATCCCCATCTTGTACTGGGTAACAGGGACTCCAGTACCTCCAGAGCTCAGCTGTTTGCCCTGAGGTACAAGTGGCTCCCAGGAGAGGAATCGGTGGTCCCTGCATCTGTCTGGCCAGCAGGACTGACAGCCTGTCCCATGGTGTGTGGTCAGCTCAGGCTGGACTGCATGTGAGGGCTCCCGCTGTTATGGATCTGCTTCATGTATTCCTGGTGTCAAAGAAATAAGTGGAAAAGGCCGGGGATTTAGCTCAGTGGTTTCGCCGCCTGCTATGCAAGCGCAAGGACCCACGTTCGATCCCCGGTACCAAAAAAAAAAAAAAATAAGTGGAAGGGAACTCTTGGGTCCTCTTTCTCCTCTGCTTCCTGGTGTGATCATGACTATGCCCCAAACAGGCGCCGAAGACCCTGTGTTCTGGGATGCCTCCTAGAGTCCTAACCCTCACAGTAGAAGCCACGTTTGGGGTTCTCTTCAACATCTTCCTCACATGTCCCATCTCAGTAGCTGCTGAGCCATGGCCACAGGGCTCCGGGCCAGCCCACCCTGTGTGCATCCCAGGCACTGCTGTAGAGGGCCCTTGTGAACCCACTGCCTTGAGCCAGAGGGTCTATGGGAAACGGAAAGGGTGGTGGGGCTTATGTCAGCCTTGTTGGGGTCAGAGTGATAGAAGGGAGCCCCAGACCTTTTCCTGCCTTGGAGAAGGTGGCACAGGCCACCAGACAGCAAATTCAGCCTTCTGAAAGAGAAGCACCACTCCAGCAGAGTGGGAGGCAGGGGGACCAGCTGGTGGGAGGGGCGCAGGCAGCATCTGGGCAGCCATGGAGGTCTCCAGGTGAGGCAGTGTGGCTAGAGGCGGCAGGCAGGATGGCTTAGATTCCATCTTCCTGCTTTTTTCTTCTGGTGCTGACGAATCGCTGGCAGCAGTTTCCTCCCGGGAGATTCTGGCAGCACCTGGAAGGTTCCCAAGGAGGTGAGCCTTCTGTGTTGTCTGCCCAGGACTGAGAGACATGCCACCTCCCATGAGCTGAAAGAGCTTGGAAGAGGTAGGACACAGATTTGAGGGTCTCCTGAGGTCAGGCCCAGGAGCATCTGGGGTCTTGTCTGGCCAGATACCTTTTCTTGGAGTCATTAAAGGGGATAAGTGGAGTACATGAACTATCAGTGCTGCAGATCCTTGCCAAGCGTCTTTTGTGCCTAGGACTCTGGGTGTTGGGGATCAGAACTGTCAGAGAAGGAGATAAGATACCAGATGGATGTGCAAGGTCATTTCCACCTCTGCTAGGACAAAACTGTGTGGGTGGCAGCCACAGCCTGCAAACCCTGAAGGACAGTGTCTCGCCCCTTGGAGGCCAGGAGGGAAAGCCCCCCAGGGAACAGGGGAAGCACACCGAGAGAGGACAGAGCCAACATGTTCAGAAAACAGGAGGGAGACCAGCGTGGTGAGCAGAAGCAATGCAGGAAGCCACCGAGGGCTCTCTCCCAGTGGGGATCAGACACACGGGGCTGCTGTGAGCAGCAGACCATTGGCAGGGACAGCTGGATGTACCACACTGGCCACAGTGGGTGGAGTTGGGGCCAGGAGGATGTGTGCAGGGGCTGAAGCTGAGATGGGAGTACAGAGGAAGATGGAATCCATAATGGGGAAGCACTCCTATCCCCCAGGTTGTGCCAGAGCCATGTACACACCTTGAGAGCCTGGGCTGGAGCCCAGCAGCCTAGCTTGAGACTGGCCACCCTGCTCGAGAGCAAGGATCCAGAGCACACTACAGAGCAGAAACCAACAGAACTGATGGAGAGACAGTCGTTTCAGCATGACAGCTGCCACGAGCACCCCCACTGTCAGTAATTGATAGCAGATGGTAAGCAGAGGACTTGAGCAACACGCAAACCGGCCTCCCAGACAGCCACTGCCACCAGCAGCCACAGCAGGATGCACGTCCTCTCAGGCACACATCTCCAAACAAGGTGGGTTCTCCAGCCACAGTAAATAAGTTAGAAGTCACGAACCAGGAAATTCACACACATTGCCAGCTAGTCACAGGTCATGATGCTGGTGGAAATACCCTTGCAGGAGCTGAGGAATGGCTGCAGCTTCAGGACCAGCAGTGCTGGAGCCCTGGCCCATGTGGATGTGGATGTGACTGTGTGTGATTTCTACCACAAGGCAAGACACAGCTTTCACTGACTCCCCACAGCTGCAGTGTTGGGGGCCAAGTCCCTTGGTTGAACAAACTCTAGGGGAGCCCCCAGTGTGGGGAGTACCTGGCACAGATCACAGGGTCACACAGTCAGAGGAAAGAAGCCTGGAGCCATGGGACCGGATGTGGGGTGAGGGTGTGCTGGGCCCGCTGTCAGGGACAGGTGGGAGGACAGGTGAGGCTGGGCCTGAGGGGAGGCTGTGAGATGAGCTGGCCCAGAGGGGACCTGCATGGAGCACTGGGAGACCAGAGCTAGCTGCAGGGATGGGATGAGGAAGAGGTGGCCTGTGTCACTTCCCAGAGCTGCAGGGGCTGGGTGGGGTGACCGGGTCTCCAGGACACCAAGGGCAGGTGTCAGGGTGGCAGTCACTTCCTCCCTTTGCTCCTCTCACCTTTGCCGGTATGCTTCTGAGCAGTTTGTGGGCCCCACACCCCATGATGTCACCTGGGGAAAGAGATGACCCCAAGAGAGCCAAAGCCAGTGAGACAGGCATGTGTTAGCAGGTTTGACTCTGGGCTCTGGCCTCTGGCCTCTGGCCTCAGGCCTCAGAGCACTGCAGGAGTGTGTGTCTCAGCAGGCGTCGTGGTGCATGTCTATCATTCCAGCATTCCAGGAGACTGAGACAGGAAGATCACAAGTTCAAGCAATTTACAAAGACCCTGTCTCAAAGTTTTAAAAACTGAAAAATCCCTGGGGATGTAGCTCAGGGCAAAGGCCCTGGGTTCAGTCTCCAGTGCTGCAAAATAAATAGTCTCTCAGCCCCCACACTAAGTCCTGAGCTCGGGACCTTCTTTGTTATTATAGTTACTGTTGTTTTTGAGACAAGGTCTCACTGTATGGTTCAGGCTGGCATCAAACTCACAATGGTCCCCTTGCCTCAGCCTCCAAGTGCCGGGACTGCAGGTGTGTGTCACCATGCCTGGGATGGGACCCTCTTAACCTGTTTTAAGGGTTCTTAACCCGGGTCCTTCACCTGCCTGCTCCAAGGACTCACTTCTAGACCCTGGCTTCATGGCCTTGTGCCCCCAGCGTGGAAACCCAACCCACACAGCCAGGGGTCTGACATCCTGGAAGAAGCTGGCTTGGAGCCTGGCCAAGCAGAGCTTTGCTGCCCTGTGTCAGGCCCCAGGCTGAGGCTGAGCCTGCTTCATCTCCCTGAGTGGCCCCACCTGTCTCTGCCAGGGAAACGCAGCCACATCCCCACATTTCAAGTAGGGAACCTAAACTCGGGCAAGGTAAGGGTCCCTTGTAAGGAAGCGACAGAATCCACTGGCGAAAGCTCCACGTGCCCTGGGGGATGGGCAGAATGGGGCACCCTGCACTCCGCCCTCGAGCCTCACCCTCTGCTCCGTGCCCGCTAGAAGCCAGCCCATTGGACACAAGACTTCATTTCCTTTAGATTCTGGCGCTCCCATGGTGACCCTAGCCCAGCAAGCCCCTTGGTGTTAAGAGGACCTTGTGTTTCCCTGGCACTTTAGTGACCTCTGAACCTCCTGTTGCCCAGATTCACATGTGAGATAGTGGTTCCTATTGCTCGTCTCACAGCCATGGTCCCCTAAGCCATTTCCTGAGGGCTCTTGGAACTTGAACCCCAAGCAGAAAGCCCAGGTCTGGTTTCCCAGAGTAAACCTGGCTTTCAACTCCCATGAGGGCAGGAGAGTCCAGGCTGGGGTCCTTTCCAGCTGTCTTTGAGTTAGCTGTGTGACTCTCGGCAGGTCTCTTCCTGCCCCGGCCTCTCATGGCTGCACACTCCTGCCCACAGCCTGCTTTTATACAGCCAATGAGCTAAGACAGTGTTTACATTTTTAGAGGATTATGAGAAAAGGAAAGACTATGGCAAAAACCAAATGTGGCCCGCCAAGCCAGAATGCATTGTCTGGCCCTTTATGGGAAAAACATGCCAGCAGCCCCAGCTTGGGAACATCTCCTGGCTGCCATCATCTTCGCTTTTTATTGCAGTTGCAACTTTCACAAACTCCCTACAGTTCAGTGAGGCAGGTGGTCCTCCTGTGGCTGGGATTGACCTCCAAGAGCTGCTCCAAAATGAGGAACTTGGCTCCTGTGCTCGCTGTCAGTGGAGAGCGCCAGAAGTCCTTCTGCCAAGCTGGCTGTGGAAGGGGACTGGGGGAGGGGTGCCCTGCTTCTAAATTTAATTGCTAGTTCTTCACATCTTCAAACTCTACAGGCTGGAATGCAGGGTGTGGTGGTGCACACCTATAACCCCAGCACCAGGGAGCCTGAGGCAGGAAGATTGCTGTGAGTTCAAGGCCAACCTGAACCGCATAGTGAGATCCTGTCCCAAAACAAAACAGTACAAAACACTACAGGCTGGAGGTAGTTCTGGGCCCTCTTCCCTGAGCTTGTGATTGTTCTGGGGTCTGTAGGATCATTGTGCAGGATTTGAAGCTTGTGTTCTGGCTGCTTTGCAGTGGACTTTGGCCCCGAGTATCAAAGCTCTCACTTGCTCTGGAAATCAGCCCTGTGTGAAACAGGAGTCTGCCCTGCCAGGGCTGGCGGGGGTGCGCCTCCGATGTGCTGTCAGGCAACTGTTTTGAACCGTGGCGCTCTGGGCAGGGTGGTATGGCCAGGTGGAGGTGCACCAGCCTTGCATGGTGTTTGCGTGTCGGGGTGGCACGCCATCAGCTTGACCCAAGAGGCTGCAAGGAGGGAGTGTCCTGGGCACACGGCTGGGGAAGCTGGCAGGAAGGTTCCTCAAGGTAATAGCTGAGCTGTGGGTGCAGCACTGCTGGGGAAGCAGGTGGAGCATCCACCTCAGCCTTGAGTCTTAGGCTCCACCTGCTCCAGAGCCAGGGCTGTGGGTTCTGGGTACTCAGGACACCCCTCACCACCTGCTTGCTCTCATTTCAGAGGTCAGCGGGAGGCTCCAGCCCCGAAGCAGGAGAAGGTAAGAGTCTCTGAAGCCCTTGGTCAATCTGGAGGGTAAGACTGCCAGGAGCCTGATATTTCTCCTCTTCCTCTCACTCTGTGCTGTAGATTCCGACCGAGAAGATGGAAATGTCTGTCCTCCTGTTAAACGAGAAAGAACGTCCTCTTTAACCCAGCTCCCACCTTCACAGTCAGGTAACTGCATGTGTGCCCTGGAGCTTGCTGTGCGGCTGCCCACTGGCTCCTGCCCAGGTCTGCTTAGAATCAGGAATGAGAACAGATGTGGTGGTACATGCCGGTAATCCCAGCACTTGGGAAGCCGAGGCAGGAGAGTTCAAGGCCAGCCTGTACTACACAGTGAGACCCTGTCTCAAAAAACAAAAAAGTGTTGGTGTGGTAAAGTGTGGTGTGCTGAGAAAAAGTGAAAAGTCTTCCCCCCAGAATGAAGGAAAAGGCGGAGAGCCTTTCAGGGACAGGCCATGAATTAAGCTCTCTCCAAGGCTGCTGGCTGTTGCTGAGGTTTAAAGGTGGAGGGGGTGGAGTGTTCCTGGATCCTACAGCTGCTTTCCCTCCCACCCGTCCTCCCATTGCTCGAGGTGCCTTTGTGCGACCTGGTGGCATGGGCGTGAAAGACAGCAGGCCAGTGTGAGGCTGGCAGAAGCTGGTGCGGGAGAGGCAGCTTCCCAGGGCAGAGAGAGAAGTCGAGGCCACTTAGTGGGAGGCTCAGAGAGCTGGCCCTCCGCCTCCATCCGTGAGGCATCCCTGCAGGTTCGAGGTCACTGCAGCCACCAGGCCATGCCCTCTCCCCACTGTGGCTTGGTCCACACTGGCACTGTCTCATGGTCCCTGTCTCAGCTGTCTGGCTCCAGCTTGGAGGTTCACGTGCCCTACAGTTCCCCCTTGGGAAGTCCATTCCTAGGAAGTTCCTATAAAGCCTTTACAGCTGTGAACCCTGAGGCTGTCATAAGGGGGAACCTCATAAACATAGTTTCTACACACAAAGGGGCGCACACATTACAGGACTGGACTGGGTACAAAGTCATCCCTTTCCAATCGTCTCTCTGGCATGTTGAATTTCATGCCTGTAGCCCTTTGATTTGATTTGGGGCATTGCTGCATCCCTGCCCACAGCCACATGTGGTCCCAGTGGAGAGCTGCCCAATGGTTTGCAGTCCAGGTGGCAGGGATGTCCTCTTTTTGAAGGATCTGTGGCTAGTGGGACAGGCCCACATCCCTGTGGAATGAGCGGCTTGCACCTCCTGATGGTTGGTTTTGCCCCTTCGTCCTCAGTGTCTCAAACTGCATTTACTTTCTGCGTGAGAAGCCCCATGGTAGGTGTTGGCACCTACGAAATACACAGTTCTCAGTTGTCAGAGTTGGGGACAGAAGTGACACTCGTATCTGGGAAACGCTGCTTTCGCACTGCCCTCACTGCCTTTTCCTCCCAGTGCTCAGTTGGTTCTTTGGCAAGTTCTGGATTGTTGGAAGTTTCCTGTTGTGAAGAAAGCTCATAAGCAGGTGGGTGCAGGCATTAGGCTGTCAAGAAGGAAGGCTGGGGGTTTAGCTCAGTGGTACCATGCCTGACTGGCAAGCGCAAGGTCCTGAGTTCAATTCCTGATACAAAAAAAGGAGTAGAGGTTGAGGGGGCCTCTGACAAGACACAGGGACCTCTGTGTGTTCTGCTTCCCTGCTGGCTGGCATCTCCAGGCCCAGGATGCCAAGACATGGCCGGGCATGAGCCGAGAGGTGGAGCCAGCTGCCAGGCTGATGGAGGCTGTCAGCCTGTAAACCCTTGTTCTCCCTGTAAAGAGGTTTTTGTCATGAGGGTCTAGTGCTGTCTCCTCATGCTGTCCCCTCCTGTGGCAGGACTCGAAACTGCTGAGAGAGGTGTCCTGTGCATGGCCACCCCACCTACTCGGGCTTTTTCTTCTTGTCCCTTCCCCTCTACCTCCTTGCTCACGTATCAGTGCACAGTGCCATCAGCCTCTCAGACCTGGCGTCCCTCGAGCTGTCCCCAGACGCTTCCCTGGTGCACTGCAGTGGGTGTTGCCCCATGAGAGCTTCAGTAGGAGTGGGTGATGGCAGTCAGGACTCATTGTCAGTTCCCAGGTGTGTGGGGTTTTCCCCACCTTCAGCTTTAGATTTGGAGTCCAGTGTGAGTGCTTCCAGTGTCTGTTTCTCCATGCAAGGCCTCATTGTAGGGAGTTTGACATCCATTTAAACAAATTTTTTTGCAAAGATGCACTATTTTTCAAATTTCACACAAGTCATATATTCATATTGTTAAGAAAGAAAAAAAATCAGAATCAAAAATGTAAAAGAATCCCCTGCCCGCTTCCTGCTCACTCTCGCATCCCAAAGGTAGCTGCTGGGAAGCATGATGATTTTTCCAAACCCTTTTCTGTGTGTTCAGTTTTCACATCAGTATCACCCCGATCTGTTCAGGTAAACGTATCTCACAGAACTTTAAAACATTGAGGAAAATAGCTCAATCTCTTCTGAAGATTCAGGGCCTGCCTTTTTTGGTGTTTCTTTACAGAACCAACTCCAAGATTTCCTAAAGTTTCTCCCACATGGCTGAAATTCCCCATATAATATTATTTAATGAGGGAGTTTAACAGCCTGCCTCCTGTAACCCAGCCTGCCTCATATAAATTCACTGCTGACTTCAAAAGCGCCCTGAGATAAGTCATCCGCCATGATGGCGATGCCAGGGCCAGAGCCGAGGTGCATTTCATAACTTCAAGGATTGATTTGATGGCACTGTTTCCAACAGTGGAATTTGTTTTGGCTCAAGAAGCGAACTGTGAGGAGCTGACTCCCGACCTCATCCTGCGAAGGGGCTGGGGTTCCCGGGACAGCAGGTCGGCCCCGGGCAGTCTGGTTCTGCTGCAGGTTGTCAGTTGTGGAAGCTGAGGGGCTCGGTCCCATGGGCAGGTGGTCGGGCTGTGGTGTATTAGTCAGTCTCGTGCTCACCTCAAGCTAACGGAGCCCCGTCCTGCTCTCCCGGCCTGTGTCCCCCTCCAGCATTAGGAGCAGGGCGGCCATCCCAGGGCTCGGACACAGCCTCGGTTTAAAGTCTGCAGTCCTTCATTGAACCTGTGAGTACACGGAGATGTCAGGCCACCCGAAAAGCGAGCTTCACGTCCTTCCTTGCCCGCCCACCTCTCCTGCTTTAGCTTGAATTTTGAAAATCTTCAGTACTTACAGAAGACTCATAAAGTGCTTCCGTGTCCCTCTTTCTTGGAGACCCCTTTCCGCCCCCCTCCCCTCAGGGTCCACCTCTCCCTCATAGCAGAGGGACACAAGGGTGTCTCGCCTTCGGTCTGCAACGGTTCCTCTGCCTGTGCCTTCTGTGACTGTTAACGCTGCAGCACGGTGTCTGGCGGATGAACGTCCTTTGGGTTGTCTTTCCATCATTCCCGGGGGACCAGACCCAGGGAATGCATCTTGGGATGTCTCTGGTGTGTACTTCGCGTTTGCTGCTCCTCCTGACAGGGTAAATGACAGTCCCTGGTTAGTGTGGCCAGTCGCTTTGTGCATAATTCAGCAGTCATGCCAATTGTGTGCACTCGCTCCCTGCTTCTCCCCGGTAATCAGTACTCTGAAGCGATTATGGGCGACTCCGGGGAATCTGGTCGCCCCCTTGGTCCGCATCCAGCGTTGTCTTCTCTCTGAAGGACTCATGACCCTGATGTGCACATGGGAACTCCGCCTGCCTTGATGAATGGCGCTGTGCTGGAAGGACGAGCCCTCTCCCATCCCTTGACTTGTGCAGTGTGGCTGTGCGGGCTCCTGCCTTAATTGGTGGGCTGTAATCTGGTAGGGTTTTTATTTTAATCCTCGTGTTGGCCCAGGTCTGGCCAAGCAGGGCCCCTGTCAGGCTGGTCTCTATGTCCCTGGGGCAGGTCCTTATCATTCTTTCAAGTGTTTCCTTCACTTTCTCTCCTGGCAAGGGGTCCCAAACTTTTTCCCTGTCCTAGCCCTGGAATCCGTGTCGTTCCTTAGATGGGCATTGGTTCTTTGTCACAGTGACCGCTCCCTGGAACCGAAGGTGGTTGCTCGATGCCTTGGCTGTGTCCCTGCTCCCGGCGTCTCAGTGGCAGAGCTGGGAACATGCACACATCTCTACCTGTGTGAGCTGCCCCTCTGCCTGCCTGTCCATGCATATAGATTCCCCAGGCCACATGGAGCTTCCTGTCCAGTACTGACAGGTTGGTTTTATCCCGGGCCCCTGGTGTGTTAATTCCCCTCCCTGGCCCCCAGCACCTTCTGCCCCTGCTGCCCTGGCCTTGCATAGGCCGCAGCTCGAGCCAGGCCTCCTGCTCTCGGGTGCTTTTCAAAGTCTGGTTTGGGCCAGGCTTATCCCAGGGCCTGCTCCTGATTGAATCAGGAGCTCTCTTCTTCACGCTTGCTTCCCACTGGGCACCGGCTTCTCTGGGGAGCCTGTGTCCCGGGTGCTAAGGTATGGCGGGTACAAAGGTCTGGCCCATGGCAGGGCTGGTGTGGCACCCTGCATATGCTTCCCAAAAGGCGTTTATGTGAGGATCGAGACCAGACCACGTGAAGAGGCCAGCAACTGTCCTGGGTCCCCTTCTTGTGCCCAGCTGCTGTCATAAGTGCCTCACACCTCATGTGTCTGTCGGTTCTCTGCAGCACTTGCTCGGTGTGGGTCTCCGGTGCTTCTGCAGAGGGGGCCAGGCCGAGGCTTGGCCATGGTAGTGTTGGCTCTGCATGGAGCAGGCTGCCAAAGGGTGTTCTGTAGCCAAGACCTACGCATTCTACAGCCAGCTCTCAGAGCTGCCGAAAAATTATCCTAATTGTAAATTTGACCTCAGCTTTTAAAAATGCATCTCAGTTGCCAGTCGCCTTCTGTATGACCCTGTGCTTTGGAAGGAAGCAAAACTCCACACTTGCCTCCTGCAGAGAACCGCCTGGCGGCGCCTCTTCACTGTATGCTGAGGTAGTGGGTTCTCCGTGGTGGTTTGTGTGACTGGTGTGTCATACCAGACACATTTTAGTGTGAAGTCAAGTGACTGAGTATAGTCACAGAGTTGTCTAATCATTACTATTGATTTTAGAACTTTTCTGTCGCACCAAAAAGAAGCCCTGTCCCCTCCCAGACCCTGGCACCCACGAGCCTACTTCCTGTGTCTGGATTTGCCTGTTCTGGACGTTTCCTATCCATGGCTCATACAGCGTGCAGCTTTTTGGCATATCTTTCCATTTATTCAAGTCTTTTTTTTCCAACTGTTTTATATTATAGCTTTCTTCTGTTGAATTTTCCCCCAAGTATCTTATTCCTCTCGGGGCTGCTGTAAGTGGAATTGTTTTCTTTATTTCACTTCAGAGTGCTCACCGCTAGCATATAGAAAGATGGTTGGTTTTTGTGTCTTGGTCTAGTGTCCTGTGGCCTGACAAGGGTTGACTCTTAACACAAAAGGGGGGTTGCCTGTGGTGCCCTGTCCTCCGTTGTCCCTGCGCTTTCCTCAGGATGAGACCCGGCCTTTTATGATGCTCCTTCCTGTCGTGGATGGGATTAGACCACCACCCCCACCACAGACAAGAGTCACAAGGCACACAAATTCAGGGGTCCCTGGACAGGCTCCTGAGGTAGCCCTAAGCCCTGTATACTCGTCGTCCTCTTGCTCCTTGCTGTCAAGAGCCCCCTTGAAGGTGGCCAGCAGTGTTGTCCCCAAGGAAGAGGGCCTGCAAAGCTGTGTGGGCACACCTGGAAAGAGCAGGCTTCTGCTGCCTTGTCTTCTCCTGTCTCCAGGGATGGTGGCGGGCAGACCCCCAGACCTTTGCTCTGCGGCTTCCTGACACTCCAGGGCCTCTGCAGATCTGGTTTAATGTGAAAGCGTTTCTCCTGGTTCTTTAGGCCCAGGATCCTGCCTGGTACCCTCCCTGCTCGGCTGCCCCACCCAAGACAGGCCTGTCTTTTACACGGTATTTCATCTGTGTTTGCAGAGGAAAAGAGCAGCGGGTTCCGGTTGAAGCCACCAACACTGATCCATGGCCAGGCACCCAGCGCAGGTAGGTGACCCCCTCTGAAGACCTTCCCATACCTTCCCAGTACGGAGCCCCGGAAAGCCGTTTGTAGAGAGCTTGCTAGACCAGGGAGCCAGGGCCTCAGACCACAGCAGGAGGAGCGGCCTAGTTGTGGAAGTGATGGCATGCCATGGCTGATTCTCTGTATCTCCGGGGGCTGCTGCCGGGTGCCAGACCAGGAGCCAGGGGCTGGCAGGGAGGCCTGCAAGGGCAGACACCACTCACTCAGTCTTTGCCCCAGCTGCGTTTGGCAGAGGGCCATTCCTCATGTGGGTTTTGAGGAGTCAGAAATCTCTGGGAGTCTCCAAGAATTCCTTTCTTCTCCCCTGCATTTCCACCTGACGTGAGCCCAGCCCCAGGAGAACAGCTGTCGCTGCGTCCAAACATTAGGCCAGGATTTTTGCATCCAGCTGTACAGAAAGGGGCTCAGGACTTTGTAGAAAGCTCCTCCCTCCCTGTGCAGTCTAGCCCACGGAGACAAAAACAGGTCACTGGGTTGGTTCCCTTGGAGGCACCTGGGTGGGCCGGGTGCTGGGCTCCCACAAGAACCTGGGCCCAGAACCACCAACTTCCATCCCAGGTCTGCCAAGCCAGAAGCCCAAGGAGCAGCAGCGCAGCGTGCTTCGCCCGGCCGTGCTGCAGGCCCCCCAGCCCAAGGCACTGGCACAGACCGGTAAGAGATGTGGGCACAGCAGGGAGCATGAGGGATGGCAAGTGGCTCAAAGTGCGGTGGAGGGTGGTGGGCCTCAGTCGGCCCCACTCCAGCAGCATGACCCTGGGTGGAATGTGTGTGTCCATCCCTGTCTTAAAAGCTGGCCGCCTCCGGTGGACATGTAGACTTGGCCCCATGGGTTTGCAGATTTGGAACTCAGCCTGGCTGCTGTGCTGGTCATCTGAGAGACTAAGGGGCTTTTTCTCCTTCCTTTCTCTCTCTTTTTTTTTTCTTTTTTTCTTTTTTTGTGGTATTAGGGGTTGAGCCCAGGGTCTTCACTCTGAGCTACATCCCTATGCCTTTTTTGTTTATTTTGGGACAGGGTCTCACTGTGCTGCCCAGACAGGGCTTGAATCCCTAACCCTCCTGCCTCCCGCTCCCTGGTGGTGGGATGACAGGCACACATCAGGACACCCCACCTGAGGCCCCAAGGGTCATTTTGCTGAGACGTGCATTCATCGTACTTGCCAGCTGTTGAGCCCTAACTCCTAAACTACGTTCCCTGCATGCCCACAGGGAGTGGCTTCCAGCTAATCCTAGTTTTCTTAACACGAATCAGCTTTTTCCCTCTTGGTCTCGAGCTCAGAACTTTATCAGAAGCGACTCAGCCTTCAGCACAGGGGAACTGATTAATAGTTTTGAAGAGTTTTTTAATTACATGGAAAATTATTTTAATCTAATGCTAAACAGTTAAAGCCAGGTTTTAAAATGTGTGTCTTTGTTTTTGTTTTGTTTTTTTTATTTTGCTGTGCCAGACAGGTGCTCACCACAGTGCCTTAGCCCCAGCCCATCCTCCACTGCAAAGGAAAAAAAACACATACAGTGCTTTATTATTAAAACTGGTTTCACAAAGCTCATGAAGAGGTATCCCCACCTGCAATTTCAGCTGGTTAGGGCCAGGGATTTAGCTCAGTGGTTCTGCTGCCTGCCTCGCAAGCTCAAGGTCCCGAGTTTGATCCCGGGTACCAAAAAAAAAAAAGAAAAGAAAACAATTTCAGCTGCTTGGAAGGCTGAGGCAGGAGTCACAAGGTCCAAGCCAGATTGGACAATTTAGTGAGACCTTGTCTGAAATTTTTTTTTTTTGTTTTGTTTTGTTTTTGGTGCTAGGGATCGAACTCAGGACCTTGTGCTTGCTAGGTGGTGTGAAATTTTTAATAAATTTAAAAAGTGGTAGAAATGCAGCTCACTGGTAAAGCACTTGCCAGTACTCCACTTCTCCAGTACTGGAAAACAAAAAAAAATAAAAGAGTTGTTGCCCGGTATTTTTCCTTTCTCTTTATGTTTTGTTTTCTTTTCTTTTGTTTATTTTTTTGTTAAATTAGCACTAATACCGCATGCTGAAAAGTCACACAGTTCTTTTTTGGAATAAACATAAGGTATCCTCACTCCTGTGAGGCGTTTGTTTTCTGTTTTTGTTTCTTACCTAAGAACATGTGGCTTTTTGAGGGGCTGAGGCCTGGCCGGACACTCTCCTTCCTCCCACAGTCCCCAGCAGCGGCACCAACGGCGTCAGTATCCCAACAGACTGCACGGGGGTCGCGACATTATCATCACCAGAAAACCCTGCTCGGCGAAGTCCCTCTGAGGCTGCTGGCGAGCCGCTCACCCTTGAGGTCGGTGGTGCAGGACAGGAGCTGGAGGGCGGTGCTCTCAGGGTCTCACGAGTCACAGCCATTGGCTGTGCCGAGCAGCTGCACTGGGTCCTGTGTGAAAAGCTTTCTGCATTTGCTTGGTGGTCTCAGTGACCACCGATGACCATATACTGGTGGTCATAGTCTGTTTTACCCAGGCTGGGTCCACAAAAAAGGTGCAGAAGCTGAATGTGCAGATGGTGACAACAATACTAGCTCTGGTAAGGGCTCTGGCTGCTCTCATGGCCAGACAGGAAGCCAGAGGGTAGTGAAGGGACAATCTTGATCTTTCTGACAACTTGGCTCAAAGAACTCCCAGTCCTGTGAGAACCGTCACTCCTTCCCAGGTCATGTCCCACACTGGGTCAAGGCTTCCAGCACATGGAGGTCAGGGCTTCATTCCCCTGGAGGACAAACTGCATCTGGGTCACCAGCCCTCCAGGGTGGTCCTTCTGTAGGTCAGAAAGGATAATGCCACAGGAAAGCCCTGCCAAGCCCACGTGTCTGCCTACACAGTCCCATTCTTCCTTCTGCCCACCTTGAAACCCTAAGTCCTGGGAGTGACCATCATAGGGGGTGCCTCACACTGTTTTGGGTGAAGAATCACCCACCTTGCACACTGAAGTGACCCCTCAGAACGGGCATGTGCCCGACCTCATCAGCGTGTTTGCCCAAGGAGTCAGCTCAGGAATGGCTTGTTAAGAAGGAAAAGTCCTCCAGAATGCTGAGGTTTTCCAGGCCAAGGGCAGTATGTTTCACTGCAGTTAGAGCCAGGGATATTTGAGGAAGAGCCAGCACTCAAGGTTGGCTGCAGCCTTGGAGGGTGGAGTTGTGGCAGCACTCAGCCACACGGCCAGGGGTGGTGTCCCTGTGAAAAGCCCCAGGGGCCATGTATTTATTTCCCACTCATCTGTTTCTGAGGTCAGGACACCACCCTTGGGGATGTTCAGGCTCTAGCAGGAGAATGGCTGTCTATTTAAACATCCTGAGGGCTGCAGATGCCTGTGCACGGGCACACACATGCGTGCCCACCCTGCCAGCCCCTAGGCTGGGGTGGAAATGTGGAAGCAGAGTCACCTCCCCTACTCACTGCTTCTTGAGTGCTGAGGCCTGAAGACAGAGCGAAGAGAGACAGGCGTTCAAGTGTGAGCTGCAGGGGACTCAGCTGGTCCTGTCCTCCAGGGCCCCCATGATGGCCATGCGCACCGCCAGGCCCTTGCATCTGCCCACATCGCTCCTCCTTGTTTACTCTCAAACTGGCCATGTGACCTCAACATGAAGTCAACAGTAGCAGGATTTATGGGGTGCAGTAGAGAAGCAGTTATACTCTTGCTAGTGACCAGAAGGTGCAATTAGCGTTGTGGTGGCAGGTCCTGGGGCTGGTGGTGTAAGTGCCACCTTCCCTGCCAGCTAGGAGCCCCGAGGGTGCCTTGAGCCAGCCACATCCTTTCTTTCTCCTCTCGGAGGTCACAGGGAAACTACTGTGCAGATCCCCAGAGCAGCAGCCCCAAAGCTTTCTCTGGTACAGCAGTTTCTATTGTGTAGTGTAGGAAAACATTGTGAATTACTGGGCACTTTGTAGGCTATCCCAAAGTAATTGCATGAGTCAGTTCTTAAAATCTTTAGTTAGGAAAGTCACACCTACAAGATGAATGTACTTAAGTAGTATGGAAATCTGTGAAGAGTGCAGGCCACACCCACACACCCCCCCCCCCCCCCCCACCCCACCTGTGAAGAGGTCCCCAGGGAACTTCTGTCAAGCCTTTTATCCTTTGTCTCCTGGGTAATTCTAAGCACAGGCACCACAGGATAGTGCATGGGATTGTGTTTGCTACATCCCCACCTGCTTTTTCTCCTCTCCTCCCCCCACTTCCTTTTCTCCTCCTTCTGCTAGAAATAGATTAATTACCCAGGGCTTCCCACATGCTAGGCAAATGCTCTGCCACTGAGCCATAGCCACAGCCCCTGGGTTTGGTTTTTGTTGTTGTTGTTGTTGGGGTTTGGGGGTGGGGTTCTGGTAGCACTGGGGAATTGAGCCCTAAGCCTTTGCATTGAGCTATATCTTCAGCCTTTTTAATTTTTTGAGACAAAGACTCGCTAAGTCACAAAATTACCCAGTCTGGACTTGAACTTGTGATCCTCCTGCCTCAGCCTCCCAGACTGCTGGGATTACAGGCATATACCACTGCACCTGGCTGCTGGGTTCATTTTTGTTTTTGTTTTTGTTTTTGTTTTTGTGGTGTTTTGTTTTGTTTTACTTTTTGAGACAGGGCCTCAAACTAGTATAAAAATATATATATAGCCCAGGCTGGCCTCAAACTAGTATAAAAATAATCTTCATGGGTTGTTGTTTTTTTTGAGACAGTCTCACTATGTAGCCCAGGCTGGTCTCGAACTTGCAGTGATTCTCCTGCCTCTGCCTCCCAAGTGCTGGGATTATAGGTGTCCACCACCATGCCCAGCCCAGGGTTCATTTTTAATCAGAATGGAATCCAGCTTCTGTATCCCACAACTGTTTTCTATAATTGCTGCATTGTGGATATCATTTCAGGTCAGTCACCTGTTTCTTTCGGTAGCAGCTGCTTTATGTATGTTTTTACCCCATTGTCTCCCCCTGCCCCCCAGCACTGGAGATTGAACCCCAGGACCTTTACACTGAGCTAATCCCCAGAACTTAATTTTTATTTTGAGACAGGACCTCACTAAGTTCCTGAGGTTGAGCTCAAACTTGACACCCTTCTTCCTCAGCCTGTACGGTGCTGGACCACAGGCGCATACCTCCACACCTGCTCTGCATCTGCTGTCTCCTATTGTGCCTGGCTCTGCATGGCACTTAGGGTGCTGCTGCTGCAGCAAGTCCCTTGTTCCCTCTGCCCCTGCAGGCGCCCCACCAGGGTGTCTGAGGACAGGGTCTTGGCAGCAGTTTGGGCCTGCTGGGTATGATCTTCCTGTTCTGCAGGTGTCCACTTAGGCAGAAAGGCCACTGTTCCTCAGGGGACTTTGAGAGCCAGAAACCAGACTGACTCTTAAGCAGATGTGATTAAAGTCTGTGTGGAAGCCCTGATGCCGTCCTGGCAAGCTCTGCTCGGTGCCGCACGGTGGCCGTGGCCCTGGCCCTAGTGTTGCCTGTCCAGGCCACCCCACCTCACCATCCACTCACTGAGGTGAGGAAGAGGCCGGCAGCCAGTGTCTGAGACCGGCCAGCTTCCACCCTAAAGACCCTGCTGCCTGCGTGGGCCACCCTGTCCACACATGCGGTCCAGGGAGCCAGCAGTTCGTATCCTGTGACTCTGGGTTCTTCCTCCTAGCCCCTGCCCAGGGACACAGGAAGGAGCCGTGTGGAGGACCAAGCTCTCTGCTGCCAGTTTTGGTTACTGTGCTGTGCTCTTTTCCATAGAAGACAGAGCCTTGGCGAAACGAGTGTAGGGAAGCCTCGGAGGAGAGCTGTGAGAGGAAGGAGGGGGCCGCTCGGCAGGCGTTTGTGTTCGGGCAGAACTTGAGGGACCGGGTGAAGGTAAGTGCTTTGCAACAGTCCTGGGGCCTCCTGGGACCAGTGGCACAGGCGCGGGGGTGCGTGCTTCCTGACCTCAGGTCCCAGAGCCTGGCACTCACCCTGCCCAGCGTGGGGCTCAGCAGTGCTTTCCAAGGCTGAGAGCGCAGGGAGGCAGCTGAGCCTGCGAATCCAGTCGCACTGGAGACAGGGAGTCAGGAGGGGCAGCATCTCGGGGCCCCATGTGCTGGAGGGAGGCCGGAGATGAGCAGTCAGAACCGCCCTGCCACACAGGAGATGCCAGCTGGAACCTGCTGTCCCTGTGCTGGTCACTGTCTGGCCGGATCACCAGTCCCCTGTGAGGCATGGAAAGTAGGCATTGGCCTTGCCATGCTTCTTGCCAAAGGACTGTGTCCCCCGGGGGCTGCTCCCTCCATGGAGCAGGGTGGCTCAGACTCTCAGGACCTCAGGCCCGGCTGAGTCCATCCCATGGGCTTGGGGTTCATGTCTTTAAAAAGTCAGAAGCGTGCATGGGTTCTAGTGTTTCACCACGGACCCCACTGCCCCAGTGAGGAGGGCCTCTGAGCATCTGCTGCCTTGTTGGCACCTCAGGGTAACAGTGCCCCCCTGCACAGGGTTCCATGGCTTAGCACAGCAGTGGCCCCTGAGAACTGCGGCACTGTCATGTGTGTGACACACCCCTAAGGCCAGATTTTTGAGCGTCTCTGTTTCAGACATGCCCCTGAGATGTGAGCTTGTGTGTGGCTTTTGTAACAAAGTAGAAAAGGCTCTCTGACAACCGCTGGCCTGGCTTTGTATGGTGACTGTGGAAAGCACCGTGTGGCACACTGGCTACAGTCCCTGCCCTGGCACACACAGTGGCGTCATGCAGGCCTGGCTGTAGCGACCCAGGCCTCGCCGTTCTGTTTCCAGCTAATGAATGAAAACACTGACACCGTTGATATGGAGAATGCAGGACATCCCAGCTCTGAAATGCCAACTGCAACCAACTATTTCCTCCAGTACATCAGCTCCAGGTGTGTGTCGGGGTCCGGGGCTGCTCTTAGCCCTGACTCAGGCCGGAAGCCAGGTCTTTCCTGTCTGCACGCCCCACCCCCCCAGCCACCTTCGTCCTGGGCTCTGATGGACCCAAGGCAGGAGTGGAGTTCGAGGGGCTGTGCAGCCCAGCCCCACGGGCTTGGACCTTGGTCCTGGACCTCGTGCCCAGAGCGGAGCTGATGGCAGTGTCAGTCCTTCACCTCCTGGAGCTATGAGGGACCCACCAGTGCCCGTGGGGCTGGGCATGGGAGCCTGGGGCCCAGAAGGAAGGTGCTCCTCGGGCTGGCAGAGGTGGAGCAAATGAGCCTCCTGTGTACCAGGAGGGGCCGAGGGTTCGCTTCTGCTTGGACAGTGTGCAAGGCCCAGGTTGGGCAGAGGGAATCCAGGCTGCTCGCTGCCGATTCCTGCCTCCTGCCCACTCTGCCCACAGTGCACCTGTCCAAGGGCCCCTCACTCACCGAGTCTCCTCTTCAGTGCAGAGAACTCAACCAACAGTGCCGACACCTCCAGCAACAAGTTCGTGTTTGGCCAGAATATGAGCGAACGCGTGCTGGTGAGTACCCTGTTGGCACTGTCCTGGGTCGGGGCTATGTGGCATGTGGCTGCCACATTGTCAGGAAAGTCCTGAGTAGTAATCAGAGAAGAAAGGCCCCGCTTAGATTCTGCTTAAAGATGGGCTGAGCCCTTGGCTTTGGTGGCCCAGGAGGCTACCTGGGTACCGGCCACTGCCACCTTTGTCGAAGCTTCCCATGTGGCCATGGCTCCAGGCTACAGTCCATGCCTTCTCCTGTGAGGCCGGCTGGTGTGAATGACGGTCATCAGACCAGCAGGCTGCAGCCCAGCGGGAACAGGGCCTCCATGTTCCCTGTTGACCAGTGTGGTGCTGCCCCTTCTGTGGGATGGTGGCATCGGTGCCAGCAGACAGGGTGCAGCCACCCCACTCTGACCACGCTATGGCCAGGTTGCTGGGTGCACCGAGAGCTGGCCAGCCGGGAGGGCTCCGGGAGACCGCTCCTCTTTCCCGCTCGGCCCTCTCCACCAGATGGAGTGCACGTGCTGCTCCCCAGCCTCCGTGGCCCGGCTTTTCCTGCCTGCCTGTTCCCCTCCACCTGTGCCTCGGCCTGCAGTGATCTGTGTGCCTCCTGTGCCCCTCCCCAGGTGTCGGGTGACAGCGCAGCACCCTGGGCGGGAATGCTTGGGCTCCAGTGTGACGTGCAGGTGGGCTCTGCTGGGATTCGTGCAGCACGGTGCCGAGAAGCAGCACCAGCTCAGGGAGGGCTTCACCACCTGCACCACAAATGTTCCTCCTCCCTGTGTACCTTTGTTTCCCCACAGAGTCCCCCCAAATTGAACGAGGTCAGCTCAGATGCCAACCGGGAAAACACAGCCACCGAGTCTGGGTCTGAGTCCTCTTCCCAGGAGGCCACCCCCGAGAAAGGTACATCACGGTCAGTGTACCTCGTGGGAGTCGCTGCGGTCAGCTGGGGTGACCAGTGATGAGGGGACCCTGCATCCATCTGCTCCCTGCCCAGGAGCGGGGCACTGATGCCCGGCAGCGGTACCCATGTGGGGATTTAGGAACAGCCTAGGGGCAGCGGCTGTGTGAGCAGGGCTCCCACCTCCACAGGGAGGCAGGTTCGGGGCCCGGCCAGTGGGCTGTGTGCTCCTCCATGCTCCTCGGGGGTCCACACATCTCTGCCTCAAAGTATGGAGTCCCGGGCTGCACCTTGCTGGCTTGTCTCAAGGGTCCCCTCCAGATCCCGTCGGCCTACCAGGGACAGCAGGTCCCCGGGAGGTGTGCCCTCCCCCTCACCAAATCAATAGTCCATCTCGTTTAGCCAGTACCATTTCAGAGTCCCTGGCCGAGTCGGCGGCCGCCTATACCAAGGCCACGGCGCGGAAGTGTCTGCTGGAGAAGGTGGAGGTCATCACCGGCGAGGAGGCAGAGAGCAACGTGCTGCAGGTGAGGGCTCTGCGCTGGGCCGGCAGTGGGACCACCCCTGGTGCCACCTTCTGGGGCTCAGACAGACTTGTAACGGACACCTCCTTCTGTCACCGGAATGAACACCTGCATGAGTGTTAATTTGGCACTAGTGTACTGCGCGGCCCCAGTGAGGGGAACCGGGAAGGAGCCCCACACTCTCGCCCCTCCTCCTGCCTTCCACATGGATGCCAATGCCCAAGTGTGTCCTAACCACCCAGAGCTGTAGGGGTCTGTGACCACTGCTTCCTTCCCCAGTTCATGCTGGCTTTTTGTTTTGATTTTCAGGGAGTTTTGTTTTGTTTTGAGACAGGGTCTTGCTATGAGGTTCAGGCTACCTTTGAACTCACTATGTAGCCCAGGCTGGCCTCGAACTCACAGTGATCCTCCTGCCTCAGCCGCTCCAGTGCTGGGATGACAGGCAGGCACCACCACTACCCAGGTTTTTTTTTTTTTTTTTTTGCAATAAGGTCTCACTACATAGCCCAGACTGGCCTTGAATTTGCAATCCTCCTGCCTCAGCCTCCCAAGTGCCAGGATTACAGGTGTGCGCGATCAGCCTCATCTTCCACACGGGCTCTCACCCTGTTCATGTTGGAGGCACTGACACAGGAGAGATGGCACTTTTCTCCCAGCGTCACGCACAGTCTCTGTCGGGTGTTTTTGGTTGAGTGTTTAACTGCTTGTTTGAAGGGTGCCACACATGCTGTATAGCTCACCCTCTAAAGGGAACACTTCTGGGGGTTTAGGGTATTGACAGAGTCACACAACCTTCACCACAATCTAATACAGAATATTTCGTTCCCTAAAAGCCCCATCCCCGTGAGCCATCATCCCACCCCCTCCCCAGCCCAGCACCCGCGAGTCCACTTCCAGTCTGGAGTCGCCTGTCCTGGGCATTTCCTGTCCATGGAGCCTGCGCTGTGTCCCCTGTGTCTGGCGTCTCACTGAGCACGGCATCCTCAGGATCCCTCCACACTGTGGCGAGTGTCACAGCCTCACTCCTGTCCTGGCTGCGTGGTGTCCCAGAGTGGGGATGAACCTCACTGCATGTCCCTCCATCAGCTGATATGTGACCTGCTGTGACTTTGGGGCCGGATGAATGACACTGCTGTGGCTGTTGTACACATATTTGTGCAGACACGCATTGCACTTGCCTTGGCCTGTGCCGGGGCCGTGTGGAAACCCCACGCTCCACACCTCCAGGCCTCGAGGCTGTGTCTGTGCCTTGCTGACTTTACGGAGCCCCAGCACCACAGGCCATTGCCCCACACGTGCCCTTTCCTCTCTCTTCCGTCGTCGTTCTCCCCGTGGGTACAAGGTGGCATCTCGTTGGAGTTTGATCTCTGTAGTGCCAGCCCTGGTAGCCGAGGTGGGTTGATGGAGACGTGGGGTGCTGTCCCCAGCATGGCTCACCCGAGGCCTCACATGTGTTCTAGATCCAGTGTAAGCTGTTTGTTTTTGACAAGACCTCACAGTCATGGGTGGAGCGAGGCCGGGGGCTGCTCAGACTCAACGACATGGCATCGACCGACGATGGGACGTTACAGTCCCGACTAGGTGAGCTGCCCCGGGAGGTGGGAATGGCGGGGCCCTGCAGTGGGGCGGGGTTGTGTGGAGAGCAGATGGGAAATGCCATGTGAACGGAAACTCTGACCTGGCCAAAGAGCGCCAGCCCTGCACCCTGGGCACAGGCCATGCCCACAGCGTCAGCCCTCAATGTGGAGCCCACACTTAGAGTTTCAGTGGAGGTTACAGTTCCGTGGTAAAAGGGAGAGTCTCTGTGAGGTGAGAAGCTGCCGCAGTGGTGCTTCTGCAGGCCTCCTGGCCACGCCTCCTGTGATGGGTCCTTTTCTAAGGAAGCAGGCTCTCTGAGATCTTGTTCTTTTCACCTACTACTTCATGAGCATTTCCTCATGCTTAGGTTTGCCTTTAAAATAGCAATTGTTGGGCCAAGGATTTAACTCAGTGGCGCTGCACCTGCCTCTCAAGTGTAATGTCCTGACTTCGATCCCCGGCATGAAAAAAAAACCAAAAAATATATAAAATAGCAAATGTCTCCTTAAACTTTTAAGTTAGGACTCTATTGGCAGTTAATGTATTTAACCTTTTCTCTGCTGACGGACATTTAGATTATCCCTTGTTTGTTTGTTTTTTACTACTGTGAATAACAAGATTGGGGCCATGTTTTTGTTTTTTGTTGTTTTTTTTTTTGGTACCGGGGATCGAACTCTGGACCTTGTGCTTTCGAGGCAGGTGACGGAACCACTGAGCTAAATCCCTGGCTCAGGGGCCATCTTTATACATGAAACTTATTCCAGAAACAGACTTAGCTAGCCAGGCAAGGTGGCACATGCTTGTAAACCCAGCACTCAGGAGGCTGAGGCAGGAGGCTCACCATGAGTTTGTGGCCAGCCTTGGCTACATAGTGAGTTCAAGGCCAGTCTGAACTGCATAGAGAGACCCTATCTCCAAAAAAAATAAAGAGGCAGACTTGCTACAAAAGTGAGTGCACACCCACACACACCTGCATGCGCGTGTCGACACTGTCTTTTCCTTGTGTCCCCTCTACACAGAGCTCTGGCCTGCATGGAAACTCGGGTTTCTGGCCCAGAGGGAGCCCTCATTCACCTTAGAGGCCCTGCTTTTCCACACATCGCCTCAGAACCAATCCTGAGGAAGGGCCCAGGCTGGCCGCTGCGCTCCCTAGCTCATGTACATTGTGGGATTTTTCCTTCCTTCCCTTGGAAATGTTCACACACCTCTGAGCAGAGGCTGTGGCTTGTGTGGTGACCAAGGTGTCCCAGTTGTCACCCATGTGTCCAGCCTGCTACAGTGGTGCCCTCCCTGCCCTCACTGTCCCTTCATCCCCCAGCCTCTGAGGTGGGCATTTGGCCAGGGACATGGCCATGGACAGACCCGGCCATTGGGCCCCTGGTGAGGTGACAACTTCTAACCCCTACCAGGCCTGTTCCGGACAGGACAGCTGGGCCAAAAGGGAGATAGCTCTTGGCCACATCCATGGGGTGGGCCCTGTCAGGGCGGGCATCACACCCCGGAGGGGGAAGGCCATCCTGTGTCCCTCCACAGTATGCCACCCTTGGGCAGCCTTTCATTTATCTTGGCAGGAGCTGTAAGCAGCCACCCTACTCTCCCCTTATCCTAAGAAAGCCATAGGACAGGGGCCAGGGCTTGGCCTATACCTGGGAACAGTCAGCCGAGCAGTCTGTCTCTGTGCATGTCACGTGCAGAAAGTGCCACCTTGTGAGTGTGTAGTCCTGCTGCCTCCTGCAGTCCATGCCTGTGCCCGACCAATGTCCCTTTCCTGGGGACTCACTGCCCTGGTGCCTGCATGTGAGCAGCTGGGCAGGGCCTTGTGGGTTCAGGACAGGCTGTGCCTGGGCAGCTGCTGTCTGATGCTGTACAGATTGGGGGCGGGTGGGGCCGACCCAGCTGAGTGGCCTTGCTGGTTGCAGTGATGCGGACCCAGGGGAGCCTTCGGCTGATCCTCAACACCAAGCTGTGGGCCCAGATGCAGATCGACAAGGCCAGTGAGAAGAGCATCCGTATCACGGCCATGGACACTGAGGACCAGGGTGTGAAGGTCTTCCTGATCTCGGTGAGCCCACGCAGCTCCCAGACCCAGGCCCAGACCAGAAGGGAGGCCACACTCTGTGTGGCACTAGCCAGATGGGGCTCCTCGGTACATGGGGGCTGTGCCGTGAGCCGACTCACGCTCTGGAGGTGGGGTGGGCTCTGGTCCAGGGCACTCAGCTCTTGGGGCAGGAGAGCGGGAGAGGGGAGGACTGTCACCAGAGCGCCTAAGCAGGGCATGGAAGGGAGGCAGGCAGGTGTCCCCACTGCCATATCCCCACAAGACCTCTAGTGGGCTGGGGAAGTTCACAGGAGGGAGGCTCTGGGAAAATCGTGTCACCCCGAACTACAGGTGAGTTTGGTCCCTGTCAAGTGGGACAGGACAGGAAGGGCCCCTCACTGCTGACCCAAGGTCCCCACCCTGGGAACAGTCCCCTGGCTGTCTCTGTGCTTCCTCCTCCTCCCTGCTCCTTTCTTTTCTCCCCAACTCAGACAGTTAGGTGCTGACTGTGTTGGTGGTGCATTCAGGGCAGACAGCCCTGTGTGTGGTCACCCGTGTCCCAAGTCATGTGGAGGAGGGATGACGGTCATATTGTTCAGTACAGACCTCTGTGTCCCGCCTCAGGCCAGCCCTGCTTGGCCCAGTCCCCCGAGACCCTCCCATCCTCCTGGGGGTGCTGGGGTCTCTTGCAGGGGGTCAGCAGGTCATGCCTTCGTGACCTGGTGGCATGCAGAGTGTCCGTGCTCCTGTGCCGGCCCCTCACGGCCCTGTCCCCCAGGCCAGCTCCAAGGACACGGGCCAGCTGTATGCAGCCCTGCACCACCGAATCCTGGCCCTGCGCAGCCGCGTGGAGCAGGAGCAAGAGGCCCAGGCCCCCGCCCCTGAGCCCAGAGCCCCATCCAATGAAGACGACAGCGACGACGACCTGCTGGCCCCCTCGGGAGCCCCTGGAGCAGGTAAGTGGCTGGCGCTACCCCGAGGGCCCCAGGGCGGCCTCCTGTCCAGCTGGTGACTGGGGTGACATCCATCTCTCCCCACAGGTGCCAGTGAGGAGGGGGACGGGCAGGTGCCTGGGAGCACATAGCGGAGGCGCCGCTGTACAGAGGCTGCTGCTTTGGTGTCTGTGGCCGCCCACCCTCCCCGCAGGCAGCATCGGCTGGGGTGGAACCACAGCCTGGATCCCCACGCCTGTTCCGAAGCAGACTCTGGAACTGCCTGGATGTGGTTCGGGACCGAGACCTCATCATATTGATGAGCAAAAGAGCGCTCCTCCCCTCCCCAAAATGAAATGGCACATTAGACTTGTCACGGCTTCTCACTGGACCGGAGACCTTGTTTCTTCACCTGCGTGTCGAGCCTCCGGGCCTCCCGCCTCGTGCCCGCCCGCCTTCCCTCCCTCCCACGGGTCCCTGCCGCACCCCGGGACCTCAAGCGTCAACACTGGGCCCTGGACACTATTTACTACTCTCTTGTTCCCATTTCCCATCTTCTGATTTGGGGTTTATATTTTACAGATCTTATTTTTTTTTATGTCCAAAGGCTTTGGTTTTGGTTTCTTGGATTATGACGCTCTGGTGTGCTGGGCAGGCACAAACCTAGGCCTCCACTCTGCCCACCCAGTCCTTCCAGGCCAAGTTGTGGGCACCAAGGGCTTGGGCTCCAGCGGGCCTGTCTCTGGAGAGCGCACCCGGAAAAAGGTCATGGGACTTGGGACGTCCCGGGGGGGCCCCGCCATCTCGCTCCCTGTCCCAGTCACGTGACCCGCCTGCGTCCTGTGTGTGTTGGCCACTGCTGGCCCAGCCCCGAGGTCGTCACCCCCAAACTGCTGTGGGCCTGGGGGTGCTGTGAGTGGCAGAGAGGCTTGCCCAGGGGCAGCACGACAGGCCTCCATGGCACGCCATGCATGGGAGTGGGAAGACCACAGAGGATTCCCTCATGTGTAGGCCTCCTTGGGATGGCAGAAGTGGCCCAGCCCCACCCTCGGGGGTGAAGAAGAGGCCTCGTCCTCCAGCTGTGCCCCCCACACCCAGGGCCAGGATGGCTCCGGCAGCGACACTGGCACTGCCCGGCCCCCAGCACGCCTGGGTCTGGGAGGACACCAGAGGCCGCCCTGGAGATCTGGCCACACTTCTCTGCTTTAAGCCTTAGCCAACTAGTGACAAGTAAAACCAGACAATGCCCATGTGTTTTGGAACATTTATGTAAGATTGTCATATGAAATGTATTTGGGAACTACATTAAAACTTTTAACTAAAATCCTGGCCTCCTGCATGCCCCAGGGGCCTCAGGAAGCCAACAGCCTGGCCAGGACCATCTCCGCCTCCCAAGGCGAGGTCCCCAAGAAGTCTGGGCCTCACCCTGGGAGCCTATGCCCGGGCAGTTGTCCAGATGGACCCCCCAGCCCGGCCCACGTGGCCTCTGCCCAGACCTGCCCCTCTACCTGGCTTCGGGGGCCATGGGCTGGGAGAGGAGGGCAGCACCACTGTCCCTGGGGTCCTGACCCAGTGACCGCTAGCCGGGGGCCCAACAGGAGTCCTGGTCTGGCCGGTTCTTCTGCTCTGCTGCCCAGCCCCCCTTCCTGCTGTGTCACCTTTGGGCTCTGCTCGGGGTCACGCAGCCAGGTGAGGAGGGACCTGGGGGCCTCTTGGGCATGCTTCTCAGAGCTGCCAGGCGCTGGTCACCATGGCCACGAACTCCTCGTCTGTGTCCACGGAGGCACTGAGCCCGCTGTAGTAGTCCTGGAACTCCTCCAGGGTGACCTGCAGGCACACGGGTGTGAGGGCCCGGCACTGCAGCTGCCTCTGGAGGGCCCCTCGCGCCACTCACCTGCCCATCTTTGTCACGGGCGTCAAAGTTGTCGAGGAAGCGCTGCAGCACCTCCTCCTCTGTCCACTCCCCACTGCACACCTTGGGGTGGCTGCGGCCGCTGTACACCCCACGGAGGTCGTCCACAGTCACCACGCTGTCCCCGCTGCGGTCCAGCTTGGCAAAGGCGGCCGCAATGATGGCCTCCCGGGCCTGGGACATGGGGGGCTGGGGGTGGAAGCAGGGGTGTCACCTCACCAGGCGCCTCACTTCAGGGGCAGGCTCCCCCTCACTGGCCCGCGTCCCAGACACCCCAGTGGCAGCCTCACCCGCAGTGCCCGCAGAAACTCCTGCAGGTCCAGCGTCCCACTGCCATCAAGGTCCCAGCGCCTGCACATGGCCTCCGCCTCTGCCAGCTCCAGAACCAGCCCCAGCTCAGCCAGGCCCCGCTGCAGCTCCACTGCGTCCAGGGACCGGCTCCCATCCCGGTCCAGGCGGCGGAAGAACCTGTGGGAAGAGGGCACAGTCAGATGGCGTCGTGGGCCCTGGAGTCGGAGGGCAAAGGACCCCTCACCTGGCCAGGCTCTGGATGCCTGAGGGCCCCCGCGCCAGACACTGCGCCCGCAGCTTCTCCATGGTGGCGTCCACGGCGTCCATGCTGTCCAGCTGGAGGGCGAGAGTCACACAGTGGCCTGCTTGGCCAGCCAGGCACAGAGCCGGGTTCTTCCCCTGCCCCAGTGTCCCCGCCCGCTCACCTGGCCTGCGTCTGCTCCCTGGTCCCACATACTCTGCCCCACCTTAGCTTTGTGTCCTGTTGCCACTGAGATGGTTGCTAAGGGAGGCAGCCTCAGAGACTGGGAGGCTCCCAGTTTAACTCTCCCTGTGCCAGGGCTGAGAGGGATCTGCTTACTCCCTCCCACTCACAGGCCTGGGGTGGAGCCTGGTCTAGGCTGCCTTGTAGCCTGGAGGGGAGTTACAGCCCCCGCAGGGCCAGCAGCCTCCTGGAGGCAGCTCACTGCTCTACTGCTGCCACCCAGGGCAGGTGCCTTTCCCTCTCTGTGCTTCATGGGGCAGCAGCTCAGAAGGGCTCAGGCAGCCCAGGTCCTGGCACCCCCCCAGGACACCCAACTCAGACCCATGTGCAGTGGGAGGGAGGTTGTCATGAGCCCACGAATGCCAACCCAGGACCCAGCCAGTTTCAAGAGAGGGACAGGGCTGGGGATTTAGCTCTGGTTCCGGCACCTGCCTTGAAAGTGCAAGGTCCCAAGTTTGATCCCCCGTGTACCCAAAAAAAAGAGACAGAGGGACATTCACTGCGACAAAGCTGTTTCCAGTAGACTTAGGAGCCAGTCACAGTGTTTTTGTCATTACAAATCTTTTGTTGATTGCTTTTCAGCCCTCAAACATTGCTTGCCGGGCTCTGAGTGGAGAAACAGGCCTGAACCCTGATATAGCCGGGAGAAAGCAAGGCGGTCATCACGAAGGCCTTTGGCGGAGAGGCGGGACATAAAGCATCTTCCAGGACTTCAAACCAGGCCCCGGCTCACTTGGAGACATGCTCCAGGGCCTGTCTGGGGAGAAGCCAGGGGCAACGAAGGCCTTTGGAAATGTGCGGTCGGAGATCAGCCCCAAGATCACGAGCAAGCCGGCGCCAGGAGTCCACAGGTTCTGAGAAACTCCAGTGACATTTAACTGCGCGCATTCCAAGGGCATACAGCAACCCAACATTCTTGGAGCCGGCAGAGAAATACTTCATTGTTTGGTTTTGTGTTTTGCTTTGTTTTGTTTGTGGTGCAAGGAGAGAACCCAGGGCCTCCCGAGGGCCAGGCAAGCTCTCACCACTGAGCTGCACCCCAGGCAGGCCCCACTGTGGTTCTGTAACCAGTGTCAAAGGCGTCCGTTTTTCTTTTTCTACGGAAAAATGTAAACTATGGCTAGGGCTTTGGCTCAGTGGTAGAGCACTTCCCTAGCATGTGTGAAGCCCTGATTTGATTCCCACCAAGATAAAAAGATGAAATAATATAAAATACAGTCACAGTTTTTGTTTCATTTGCGGCACTGGGGATGAAACCTAGGAACCTTCACACCGAGCTGCATCCCCAGCCTTTTTGTGTATTTTTTGACACAAGGTCTCACTAAGTTGCCCAGGCTGGACTAATACTAGTGATCCTCCTGTCTCAGTCTCCGGCCAGGCCCGGCTCTTTTGAAACTGACTGCTGGGCTGTGTGTGTAGCTCAGTGCTAAGTGCTTGCCTAGCATGTGTGAAGTGCTAGGCTCCATCCCCAGTACTGCAAAAAATAAACAAGCCGGGCGTGGTGCCACATGCCTGTAATCTCAGCACTTAGGCGGCTGAGGTAGGAGGATCCCCATAAGTTCAAGGCCAGGCTGAAATACATAGCAAGACCCTGTCTCAAAAAGAAAAAAAATTTCAACAGTCACCCTACAAAACCAAGCAGCCCTAGACCCCCAGACCTGGAGAATTATTTTGCCTCTCTAGGCACCCCCACGGTTTCACCTAGTATCAAGCGAGTGATATGTCCACCAGTAGCTGCAAAGATTGCACACAGTACTGTACATAGCCTGCCTGGCACCCACGTCCCATACAACCTTGTATCTCCAAGGCCCAGCAGGGACCACAACACCGAGGGCCACCTCTCCAGCCCCCGTGCCAGGAAGAAAGAACGGAGGACCCAGGCCAAGAAATGGTATGGTTTACTCTCAGGCACAGACAGGCCCCAGCCTGCCGTTCCTCTACACAAACAGACCCCCCTTTATTCATCTGCAGGAGAAAATGGGACCATTGTCCCTGCTCTAAGGAGTCACTGTGAGATGCCAGGCCGGGAGATGGCGCCACCCCGAGGGCTCTGGATGGCCACCAACATTTCCAGCTGGAGTAGACGCTGCCCCTGGGCAGATCCTGGCCACCGACCAGGCTGGGCATCTCTCCGTCCCTGGCTTGATAAAAAGCAAAATGCCCTCAATGTCTTGGGCCAGGAAGGGCAACATAGAAACAAGGAATTAAAAAATAGATTCTCTATCAAAACATAGCCACCTGCTACCAAAAGGCAGATGCTCTGGAGGAAAGGGGCCCCCGGGATTCCCTCGGCTCATAGACCCATCGGTTCCTTCAGGGGCTCCTGGGGAATGTAAGGCACTGGTGACAGGGACCAAGAGAGACAAAAATCCCTGCCCTGAAGGAGGTTACATTCCAGATGAGATGGTAGAATTTCATAAAGAAAATAAAACAGAATTATGGGGGTAGAGTGGGGTGGGGAGGAGGAATTATGTCAAGTAAAGTGGTCCGGGGTGGCCTCTGATGAAAGTGGCCTTTGAGCAGAGATCTGAGAAACAATTACGTGGGAATCAGGAGGAAAAGCATTTTAGACAGAGAAAGAGCTAGTGCAAAGGCCCTGGGGCGGGATGCCACCAGGAAAAGGTAAATGGCTGAGTGGTTTTTCCTGGCCAGTCTGGCGGCCAGCACCTCTCACTGGCCTGATCTTCTTTGGGGATTAAGGGTTGAGGGAAGGATGGAGTTAGGGAATATAGATCTAGGATGAAAAAAATCTATCTTCATACAACTAATGCAAAAATGGCATGTGGCTCGACACTCCCCATTCTAGGGTAAAAAAGTAAGAAAAAGCTTTAGCCCTGGAATATAAGATGGTCCAGAAGGAACAAGAATCAAGACAAGGGCTGGGCGTGGTGGTGCACAACTGTCATCCCAGCACTTGGGAGGCTGAGGCAGGAGGATCTCCATGAGTTCAAGGCCAGCCTGGGCTACATAGTGAGTTCAAAGCCACCTGAACTACATAACGAGACTCTCTCTCAAAAAACAACAAAAAAGGCAAAAGGGAAAAAATTAGAGAAGTTCAAATCCTGTGGGATCTGATGCCATTGGCCCCCCACCAAACAGAGTTCTGAGTCAGATGCATCTGGGGCACAGGGAGAAGTGAGCTAACGCACACCCTGGCTAAAGTGCGGGCCCTGCCTGGACGCAGATCAGGCAAAGCCAGCCAGGTCTCAAGCCAGAATGCAGCTTTAGCTCAGTACTGCCAGCTTTTCAACAAGGGTGGTGGATTCAAAGTTCCATTTTCTTTGTGACTTGTCTGAGCTAAACATCTGCATATGGCCTGCTTGAAAACATGGTCTTTTTAGCTTCTGCTGCTTGGCCAGGATCCTGCCTCTGCCCTGGGATCCCCCAGGGGATGGAAGTCCCCAAGGGACTGTCTGCATCAGCTCTGGAGTCTGCTCCCGGGCTCACACTGTTGTCCCAAACACCGAAGGCTGGAGGTGATCCTCTTCCTCCTCCGCCTCGTCCTCCTCTGCAGTGCTGTTGGCGAGGGGTGGCCCGGGCCCACCGGGAAGCAGGTGGCTGGCTGCACTGTCCGGCAAGGGCCCCAGATGCTCAGCCTCAGCCAGGGCAGCCAGCAGTGCGGCCAAGGGTGGCCGCCAGCGACAGATGTCCTGCAGCAGCTCGGCTCGGGGCCGCAGCTGCCCGATGAGCTCGTCCCTCTGGTGCACAGCGGCCTGCAGGCTTTGGACAGCGGCCTCAGAGGTCAGGAGTTGCTCCTGGAGAGCCTCGATCTCGCTGGCAGGAAGGCAAAACAAGGCAATTATGGTACTGGGGAGCCAGAGGATCGACTCCTCCCTACTCCTGACTTTCCTGAGGTGCCCAGCACTGCGGGAAAAAATCCAGGTTCTCCACCACCACCTCAAGGCCACCCCTTGTTATGGGCTGTATGCATGTCCCCCACATTCCTATTCTGCAGCCCTAACCTCCCCCCTGCCCCATGGATGGTATATGGAGACAGAGCCTGTGGGAGGTAATCAGCAGCAGACCAGGTCGTGAGGGTGGGGCCCCCGATGGAATCAGTGTCCTTTTATTTTTTAAAAAATTTTTAAAATTTTTTATTTTTTATTTATATTTTGGTACTGGGGATTGAACTCCGGACCTTACACTTTCCGGGCAGGCGCCAGAACCACTGAGCTAAATCCCCAGCCCTGATCAGTGTCCTTTTAAAACAAGACACCAAGCCAAATGAGATGGTACATGCCTGGAACCTCACCTACTCAGGAGGCTGAGGCAGGAGGATCGCAAGCGAGGGGCCAGCCTGAACAACTTAGTAAGACCCTGTCTTACTTAGGGTCTTACTTAGGCTGGAGGCGCAGCTCAGCAGAGTACATGCTAGGTAAAATGCTTGCCTCGAATGTGTAAGGCCCAGCGTTCAATCCCCAGCAAAAGAAAAGGCGAGAAGGAGGGGGAAAGGGAGGGAGGGAAAGGAGGAAGAAAAAGAGGAAGAAGAGAAGGAGAGGTAAGGAGCAGGAGGAAGAGAAGCAAGAAGGTGGTGGTCTGCACACCTGGAAGACAGCGTGCACAGAACCCAAGCCTGCAGGCCACCGCTCACACTCTCCCCTCTCCTCCCACACTCCTGCTGCCCGAGGGTCTTCGCCATTTGTCCCGAGCTGGCTCCTCCTCCAGGAGGCTTTCCTGCCTCCATCACAGCCCTGACAGCCATGAAGAACCTCAGCAGTGCGGTGCCTGTCTCCTAGTGATGTGCTCCAGTACCAGCACAGTCAGCGCCTGGCACTTAGTAGGTGCTCAGTAAAGATGAATGGACCAGTCCAGTTAGGTGGCCCCGAAAGAGATGTTCCCCATCTGGACCCCACTACCTTGCTCCTTCCTGGGGATTTGTCTCATCCTTTTCAATTCTTAGCTGGCACAGGGACTCTTCAAAAATGATGATATGCACACGGTGCCGTGGATCATGGCTGCAATCCCAGCACTGTGGGAGGCTGAGGCAGGCAGATGTCAAGATCTAGCTCCGCCTGGGCCACTTAGCTACTTCCAAGACCTTGTCTCAAAACAAACAAAAAAGAAGGCGGGGCTGCAACTTAGTGCAAAGGCCCTGGGTTCTATCCTCAGTTTAAAAAATATATCTATATCTATATATACATATATATATAACTACATACTCGTGACTAATTTGCTTTGTTGTTTTTGTCTTCAATCGCCCCAGCAGTTCGGCCTCCCCCGCCCCGCACACAGTCCCCTGCCCTTCCTTCCTTTTCCGTCTCGGCTCCGCCTCCTCCCACCTCCTGGACTCCACCTGGCCGCCCGGGCCTCACCGGTCCTTGGAGTGGCCCAGCTCCTCCAGGGCAGCGCGCAGCTGGTGGTCGTGGCGGGCCAGACGCTCGGCCTGGGCACGCACCGTGCGCTCTGCCGCGTCCAGCCGCGCCTCCAGCTCCGCCGCGCGCTGGTGCACGGCCGCCAGGTGCGCGTTCGCCTCCCGGATCTGCAGGGCGGGCGGCGCGGACATGACCCCCTCTGCTGTCTCGGCCCTGCCACGCCCCCGGGCCGACCGGAACTGGCAAGGCCCCACCCCTGAGACGGCCTTGGCCCTCGAGGACTCGGCTCCATTGGTTGCAGTCCCTGCTAGGCTCCGCCCCAGGGCTGGGCTGTGAGCTTCCCTGAGACTCCGCCCTAAACTCGGCCTAACTCCAAGATTGGTCAATGTCTTGACAGACCACGCCCCCAGTTGGCCCTAGGCTCCTGCGGCTCACTCTTCTCAGACTCTAGCAATGGAATTGGTCACACTTTCCAGATGAACCCCGCCTTACATAAGAAACTAACTCCAGGATTGGCCGGAACCTCTGGGAACAAGTCTGACCACGCCCTCCGAAACCTGCGGCTGGCCTCTTGCGTCTACATGATTGGATACATCTCTGTCAGGGGTAGTCCGAAGTATGCCCAAGCCCCTTAGACAAATTTATAGCCTCCGATAGGTTAAATTCCTGTCGTTCTGCCTCTGATTCTGGCCACGCCCCCAAGCCAAGAGTCTACTTTATCCGACCCTGGTCCTGGACCAGCTGCAGGTTGGGCATGGACTTCATCCCGCTAATATCCTAGGACTGGGTTTGGTCACTGACCCATTAAACCCTGCCCCTGATTCTAGCCACACCCCAAAGTAGTGGCACGGTTTCTAACTCCAGTTTGGGAATGGGCCATAGAGCACGACCATGCTCCTTACAGGTTATGGCTGTAAAAGGGGCTGCATCCTTCCAGGCCCCGCCCACGACGTTTTCCCCCCTCCTATCAAGTCTTGCCTCGATCCTCAACCTGTGCAGGAGGATTGGCCTGGCTGGCATCCGTCAGTCATCTTAAGTAATCAAACTATCCCTAACCTGACTCTCTGAGCTGGGACTAGCAAAGCCTGTCTTCACTGATCGCGAGGAGCCTCAGTTTCCCCTTCCAGGAATCAGCCCGGGCAGGAGTGCACCTAGACTCCCTTCTCCAGGCCTTTCCCAGCGTCTCGACCTGACCCGTGTCCTTTGTCCGCGGCGCTCAATAAAGTTGCGCGCTTGTTGCCGGCCCGTCAGTCCCAGCTGCTGCGCGCGCCGTTCCGGAAGTCTCGCGAGAGTCAGCGGCGGGCTGCCCTTGGGAGCGTGGTTCTTGCGGGGCTCGTAGTGCGGGGTTCGGGCTGAGCTGCCATGGCGAAGAGGCTGCTCCATCAGTACACAGACATCCCAGACGGCACCGACTGCCACCGCAAGGCCTACGCTAGCACCGCTATCAGTACCACCGTCGGTTAGCGCCGGCCGGGCTCTGAGCGCGAAGGGCAGAGGGTCGCTGGGGTTGGCCGCGGGTCACGGGGCGGGGAATCTCGCGAGGTGGTGCGGGTCGTAATCCGGGGGTCTGGACGGCCGCGGAGTCTCGCGTGTGTGAGGTAGACGCGGTGGTGGGTTCGTGTACAGGTGACAGCCTGACCACCGGGGTCGTCATAGGCCAGAGGTCCCCGGGTGCTGGGGTCTGGGGGAGGCGGTCGCCAGACTCCAGGGAAGTTGTGCGTTGTCAGACTGGGTCAGTGTCATGGTCCCTGTGGGACTTTGCAATGGGGTAACTGCTGTTACTTGGGGAGTCACTGTTAGGGTACCTGAAGAGGGTCTAGGCAGGTTTGAGAGTGTTGAGGTGCGAATAGGTCTTTCTAGGGCCAAAGGGTGGAGGGTGCTCAAGGATATGGTATTTTGCCCACCCGGAGGGTCCTTGATTAGGTGGGTCAGGATCCCCTAGGATACCCTGGGGGAAGAGGTTGTGAGGGGACCCACAGCTCTGGCGTTCTCCCGCAGGGGGCACCCCAAAGTCTTCCCACCTTCCAGCCTCAGAGTGTTTCACAGGCACGGTCCCCTGTAATTCTCCATTCTGCGGGAAGTAAAAGAGATGCCTTGGTTTTTTGAGTTGTTTTTTGTTGTGGTTTTGGTTTGTTTTGGGGGTGGGTGGGTTGTTTGTTGTTGAGGTTCAGGGCATTGAACTCAGGGCCTTGGCACTGAGCTACATCCCCAGGCCCTTTTCATTTTTTATTTTGAGACAGGGTCTCACTAAGTTGCCCCTGCTGGGCTCTAATTTGAGATCTTTCTGCCTCAGCCTCCCAGAGCACTGGAATTCTGGGTGTTGCCACCAGGCCCATCTAGAAAGGATAGTTTTGCCACCTCCGGATCTCCAGCTGAAAGGCGTCTGGCAGAAATCCAGGCTGCTCTGGGAGGCATCTGGTAGTGAGTGCTACCATTTTCTCCATTTTTAGTAAGACTGACATGATTATCTTCTTTTCGGTGGGACTGAAGCACAGAGGGAGGGTGTATCAGCTGCCCCAGAGTCCTGTGGTCTCAGGCCAGGGCAGTTCCCTCAGGGAACTGATGGAGAGTCTTCCGGAGACTCGGAGTTAGTGCTGAGTTGCTGTGAGAGTCTGGGGTGTGAGGGGGTCGTCCCTTGTGTCTCTGGAGAGCACCTCAGGCGCCCTGGAAGGCTGATCGGTATGGGGGCAGCCTTGGCGGGGGTGTCACTGTAGGGGAAGTTATTCTGGCAGTTGTTCTGTTGTTTGCAGTCCTGACTATCGGACCCCTGTGCAGCACTACTGAGCTACAGCCCCCATCTCTTATTTTTTGAGACTGGGTATAAGTTGTCGAGGCTGACCTGGACCTCACAGTCCTCCTGTGTCAGCCTCCTGAGTATCAGTGACTAGAGGCATGCCCAGCTCTGGCAGATTCTTGAGGGAATCTGACCTTAGGGAACATCTGGCAGAACTTTTCAGGGACCATGATCATGTTTCAGGGTAAATGGAGGCAGAGGCCACCTGAGGTATTTGGGGGCTTTGCAGTTTTTGGAGGGTTATTTTGTTGCAATGGGGGATCTGGGCATGGAACCCAGGGCTGCACATGCTAGGCAAGTGCTCCACCACAGCCCTGGGCCCTTCAGGGAGATGTGTGAGGCGGGTACCTGGGAGGGAGCTGCTGCTTGATCCTTGGTGTCCAGTTGAACAGGAGAGCATGGGCTGTGCTTGCACATGCGCACCGTGGGGGCGGGCTGGAGCATCAGGTGGGGAGGCTTTGGGGGGAAACTGAGCCAGTGTTGGGTGGGTGCTGCCAGGTGAGGGGCCTTTTGATGGGAGGTCGCTGCAGAGTCTGAGGCTAGGTAAGGAAACCCTTGCCAGAGGAGGAGTCACTGAGGAAGTGAGATTTGGGGTGATCTTTGATTTGAGAGTGGCCCTCCCCTTGCCACCCCCACCCCCAGTTCCCTGCCCTCCTTCTGAGAGAAGCACTTCTTTCTTGCCCAGCTTCCCTGGGATGGGAGCCCTGGCTGGTGGGGAGCCTCTGCCTCCCAAAGAATCTGGGCCCTGTGGTCACGCGGTTCCTGTGGGTGAATGATGGGCACCTTGTGGGCACACTGGATACATGGATGGATAGGTTTGTCTTTAGAGCACAGGAATGTTGTGGTTTTGGGGCCCACAGTCACTGTTTTTCTGTTTTTCTTTTTTTTTTTTGGTACCAGGGATCGAACTCGGGTCCTTGCGCTTCTGAGGCAGGAGGCGGAACCACTGAGCTAAATTCCCGACCCCACTGTTTTTATTTTGTTTATTTTTGTTTTGTCTTAGCAAAAGAGACAGTATTTATTGCATTTAATTCTAGTGTACTTTTTCTAAGCTCCTTTCTCAGAAACAGTCACAAGAGCCAGGCTTGGTGGTACACACCTATTTTGTTTTGTTTGGTAGCAGGGATTGAACTCAGGACCTTGCGCTTGTGAGGCAGGTGGTGGAACCACTGAGCTAAATCCCTGGCCCTTGGTGGTACATGCCTGTAATCCCAGGATGCAGGAGGATCACCTTAAGTTTGAGACCAGGCTGGACTACATAGTGAGACCCTGTCCCCCCGCCAAAAAAAGTTGGACCAGGGATTTAGCTTAGTGGTTCTGCCGCCTGCCTTGCAAGCGCAAGGACCGGAGTTCGAGCCCCGGTACCAAAAAAAAAAGTCATAAAGAGAGAACTGTCCATTTTATGAAAATTACAGATTAATAAAAGCATATGGTGTCAGTAAGCACCTTGCCATGTTCAGAGCTTGGTAAAGCTTAGATACCTGGCTTCTCAGTCCTCTGTCAGCTACAGTAGCTCCATGTATCTCACTATATATCTCATTATATCCAGTTTCTTTTCCAACTAAAGAAAAAATGAGGTGTAGGACAGGCAGTGATGTAACATTAGGCATGTCCTTGACTTTCTCAAACTTGGAGAAGGAAGATACTTAAGCATTGTAATATAAAGACACAGTTGAGCTAGGCATGATGGCTCACTCCTGTGGTCCCAGCATTGGGCAGGCTGAGGCAGGAGGATCACCGTGAGTTCTAAGCCAGCCTGGGCTACATAGTGAGTTCAAGACCAGCCTGAACTCTGAACTATACTGTGAGACCCATCTCAAAAAAAAAAAAAAAAAAATGCAGTTGCAGGCTTTGAAATGGCATAGGCAGTAGTTGTGGTGAATTGGTGAAGCCAGGGGTTTGGGCTCCCTAGGACAGAGAAATAGGCTGTGGGCTGTGACAAGGGTTTGACCTGAGATTGGCATCAGTTCTCGCCTTGGTGACGGTTTTGTTTTTTGTTGGTTTCTGGGGTGCTGGGTTTTTGTTTTTGTTTTTTTTAGACAGAGTCTTGCTATGTAGTTCAGGCTGGCCTCAAACTCACTGTGTTGCTGGGGCTGGCCTTGAACTCACAGTGATCCTCCTGCCTCAGCCTCCCGAGTGCTGGGATTACAGGTGTGTGCCACCATGTCCAGCTCTTTTTTTTTTTTTTTGGTACGGGGGATCGAACTCGGGTCCTTGCACTTGCACAGCAGGCGGCGAAACCACTGAGCTAAATCCCCGGCCCATGTCCAGCCTTTTTGTAGTTTTTTGAAACAGGGTCTCATTTTGTAGTTGCAGCTGTCCTTGAACTTACTATGTAGCCCAAGCTGGCCTCGAACTCACAGTGATCCTCCTGCCTCAGCCTCCTGAGTGCTGGGATGACAGACATGCACCACTCCTGGCATTGGTAACGTTTTTTTGAGACAAATGCTAGTGTGGTCTTAAAAATATTCTTCTCTTTTGAACCCTGAAATTGAATGCCGCAGTCACTTGCAGGCTAAAACATTATATGTATAATACACACAGACACACAGACACACACACACACACACGCACACACACACGCACACACACACGCACGCACACATATTTTTCCTGCCACATGTCGGTTACAGAACATCCCTGTCTTAGAAACACCCCAGCTGGCCAGGTGTGGTGGTGCATACCTATAATCCCGACACTCTGGGAGGCTGAGGCAGGAGGATTGCTAGCTTAGCAACTGGGCAGCTCAGCGAGACCCCTTGTCAAAATGAAAAAGCGCTGAGGTACAGCTTAGTGTGAAGGCCCTGGGTTCCGTCCCTGTTACTGAAAGAAAAAACAAAACAAAACAAACCCACTTCATCAGGGAGCAGATACTAATCACTAGTTGTCAGTACTGTGGGTTGACTTGAAACCGAGTGAGACGCCAAGGAGCCCTTGAGGTTTGGGTGCGCTGTAACCACAGTCACAGCCAGAGCAGGAACCAGAGCTAATTTCAAGAGACCTGCACAACACCAGACCCTGGCAGCAGCCTCAGGCTGCAGGAAATGACATCAGCAGTGATTACTGATGACTCAGTGAAGGAGCAACTGGTGGTGGGGAAGCTCGGGGCCAGCGGCAGGCTCTGGGGGCTGCAGAGCAGTCTGAGGTGGCAGAGCCTGTGTGCTGGGGTGGGAGGGAGGTCCTCACCCGGGTGGTTGCTGGGGACCAAGTGGGCTGGGGCTGTCTGTGGCCTCCAGAGGGTAATCAGAGTCCTGGGACTTGCATTCCTGTCCTGTGCCCTGTGGGCTGAGGGGCCTAGGGGTGAGGTCAGTAAGGTTCACCCCAGCACCCACTCTGACTGGGTCCCAGCGCTCTCATTGAATCGGGAAGGGGAGACGGTTATCAGACCCTGTGACCAGCCCAGCCCTGGATTGATACCCACTGGGTTCTGCATGGGGCCGAGTATCCCTGTCATTAAGGACCTCAAACCAGGCACACGGTGGCTCGTGCAGCCCTTGATCCCATCACTCAGGAGCTTGACAGGAGGATCCTAAGTTTGAGTCCCATCTGGGCAACTTGGCAAAACCCAGGCTCAAGGGGCCGCAGAGGATATAGCTCAGTGGTAGAGTTGATCCCTAGTAATGGGGGAAAAAGAAAGAAATTGTTACCAGCTGGGGCACCTGTAAGCCTAGTTGTGGGTGGGGATGGGCTGGGGGAACCCTGGATCCTCCCCAGCACCTAGCACCATCCACTGAGGCCAAACTGGGTCCCTGCATTTATTTGAAGAGGCAAGATCCACAGCTCAAGCAGGGTGATGGTGCACTTCCACAGTCCCAGCACTCTGGGAGGCTGAGGCAGGAGGATCTCAAGTTCAAGCTCAGCCTAGACAAAATTCTGGGGTGTAGCTCCCTGCAAAGTTCTTGGGTTCATTCCCCAGAACTGCAGAGAAAGATCACAGCTGCTTATGGTCAGACCTTTGGCGTTGTCTCCGCCCCTCAGGGCCGCCTGGGTTGTCTCTCCCACTGCCAGGTGTGTAGGTGTGGAATCAGCCACAGCTCAGGTAGCGGGAACACCTCAGAGCCTGGATGGTCACAGGGTGGGGCCCGACCCTTTAACCTGTTGGGCTGCCAGCTGGCTATGCTGGGTGACATCGGGCCAGTCACCTGCCTCTTGGGGCCCTGAGGATGAGAGGCACTGGCCTTCTGTGATGTCGGGATGTGCAGCTCTGAGAGGTCCCAACAGAGGCCCCTGGTGTGGGGAAGGAGTCCATGTCCGGCTGTGCAGTGTCCACTGCCCGGAGGGCTTGGGGCCGAGGGGAGCAGCCATGTATCAGAGGGCCAGGGGCCCATGGGTCAGAGCCAGTGTCGGGCTGTGTGGTGGCGGGGAGACAGCAGAGAGGAACAGCCGAGTGACAAGGCCGGGGGAGCATGGATGGCGACTGGGCAGCCAGGTGTGAGAGGGCAGGAACGGCAGGGAGGAGGCGTTGGCAGTGAGCAGCTGCCAAGGAAGACATGGGGACAAGTCCTTCAGGGACAGAGGGGACCCTCCGAGCTCATGTTCAGGCCTTGAGGAAGGGTCCTGGAGCAGGGAGGGTGGACAGGCTAGGTGGACCCTGAGCTCAGGCCTGGGAGCAGCAGACCTGGGTTTGACTGCAGCCCTGCAGCTCTCAGCAGTGGGACTCTGGGCACAGGGTGGACACGGTGGGCTGTGGGCGCCGTGAGGCTGGGACATGAGCAGCCACTGTCCTCTCTGTCTCGCAGGCCTGATCTGGTCTGGCTACAGCCTCACACACAGGGCCCCAGGCTCCATCCTCGAAGGCGTGGCCAGGGCCGGAAGGTACACATTTACCGCAGGTGAGCCAGGGCCCTGTCACTTCTCCCAGTCCTGGCTGCATGTTCTAGGGACAGGCCCTGGGCAGGGTCCTGGGAGCCCGGCCGTGGGGTGGGGCCCCTGCTCAGATGGACAACAGTCCAGGAAGCTCCCCCAACAGCACCCCTCCGTGTACTCACAGCCGCCATTGGGGCCATATTCGGCCTGACCTCCTGTATCAGTGCCCAGATCCGAGAAAAGCCCGACGACCCCCTGAACTACTTCCTCGGAGGCTGTGCCGGAGGCCTGACCCTGGGAGCACGCAGTGAGTGCCCACCTGCCCCTCCTCCCTCTCCACTCCACCCTGATAGCGGGGGCATCGCAGGGAAGGTACAGTGCCTCTCAGCACATTCCACAGGGCACTGTACCCTCCCTGCCACCCCTCCACCCTCTGCCTCTCATTGTGCCTCAGGGCCTTTGCATGCACTGAGCCCACTGCCTGGAGTGCTGCTCCTGCATGTGTCAGCACAGCTCCCCCATCCTGTCTGCATCTTGTCAGGGGACATAGGCCACTGGCTGTTATCAACTCTGGTCTTGAGGGCAAGAGGTGCTGTTTCCGCAAGGCCACTTGTCTCTCAGTGCCCCAAAGTGTGCAGGGCCCAGGAGCTGCAACCCTTACCAGCTGCACAGATGTGGGAATGGGGTCACTGCAGGCTTTCTCAGCAGCAGAGGGCACAGTGTGGTCGGGGCAGGAGCCTGGCCAGCCTGCACTTCCGGCCCGCACTCACCGGAGCTGGCCGGGTAGCTGAGGTCTCACCGGCCCCTGTCCCCAGCAGGCCTGGAAGGGTGTGACATACGGTGGTTAGGGCTTTGGGGCAGGAGAGCCTGGGTGAATAGGGGAGAGGCTGAGGTGCCGTAGTGGCCTATCCCAGGCTGGAGCCAGGCGGCGTGGGGCAGGGTGAGGGCCCCAGACACGGCCCTGCTGGTGTGCCTCAGTTTCCCTGTTTCTAAAGGCCAGTGGCAGTTTGAGCAACTTACCCTGCCCTGAAGCACAGCTCTGGCCCAGCCAACCAAGTTCAGGGGTGGGGGCCCCTGGGTGTCAGGGGCAGCCCCGCCCCACGCGCTGACCTCCATTCGCAGTGCACAACTATGGGATCGCCGCGGGCGGCTGCTTGTACATGGGCGTGATGGCCAGCCTCGTCAAGATGGGCCAGCTGGAGGGATGGGATCTGTTTCCAAGCACCAAGGTGTAGCCCTGCCACCTCCGCCCCCTGGACCAGACCGCCTGGAAATAAACCCTGTGTATGTGTGTGACAGCATCCCGAGTGCTCCGTGCCGGCCACACGCCAGCCCCCAGGGAAGCGTGGGAGGGGGCGGTGGGATAAGGTGTGCTGGGCCTGGGCTGGCCCTGGAGGCCAAGGGCACATGCAGCCTGCCCTGCCGAGGGGGTGGCATCAGCTGGGCCGCCCGGCCTGTTCCCAGGCCAGGCAGGGGCCTGCAGGTGGCCACCAAGTGGAAACCCAGCCCCACTGCTTACGGCCCTCGGCAGCCCCAGCCAACACTGCTGCAGGTCGAGGGCCATCCCCTCTCCGGGCCCGGCCCCAGCGCCAGCACCAGCGCCAGCAGCATGTGGAAAACAGCTTGGGCCCCACACACAGAGCCGGCTCCAAATTGCTGGGCGTTGGGGTGGAGAGCCTGGGACGGGCTGGGACAGTCTGCTTCAGTCCGGTCTGTCCTGGCCCAAGAGCCTCAGCCCGCCCTGGCAGCCCCGGGTGCCTGGGCTGGGACGGCAGGGCCAGGTGAGGGCCAGTCGGAGGTGACCCGCGAGAGCATCGGGCCTCCCGGTCTCTGCCCGCCAGCTGTCAGCTCAGTGATTTAGGGGCCCCAGCCCCCCGGCTCTTTCCCCAGAACTGGCTCGGGCTTCTTGGCGGCCAGGAAGGAAGCAGCAGGCTCCAGCCTGCACCGTGGCCATAAATCAGGGCTCAGCCCCACCCAAGGGAGCTGGGCTGGCACTGCCACTGGCCCTGTCTGTTCCGTGTCCAGCCTCATCCCATCCCTCCAGCCTTCCCTAGGGCCCAGACAGTTAAATGCCAACCCTCCCCCCAAGATTAACCAGGCACGGGGGCTGTGACCCATGTCCCTGCCCTGCTGTCCCCTCACCACTCGTTCCCCCAAACCTCTTTAGGACCTCTGTGTGTGCTGGACCCAGGGACCCGGAGCCAGCTCAGCGTCACCTCCAGGGCTGGGTGCCCAAGTCTAAGAGCTGGCATTAAAATGAAGGCTCCAAGTTCAAGTCCTGACTGTGTCCTCCAGTGACAAAGGCGCCCAAGCCTCAGCTCTGCCAGCTGACAGATGAGCAGATGCCATGCACCAGGGCTCCACGGAAAAAGACTGGCCCTGGGTACTGTGGGCCTGCGGCCAGGCTCCTGCACCAGCCCAGTCATGCCCATCGTGGCCAGCAGAGGGCACCGCTCACCACGGCCTGGCCTGGGGCCAGGGGGACAGGGACAACACTCCCGGGTCCCTAGGTCCTGGGGCCCAGGATGGCCACAGGAATCATCCATTCCCTTTTCGGTACAAGCCACTGTCTTGATACCTTTCCTTCCGGTCCACTCTACTCCACGGGCCGGGATTGTCTAGGGCCCCTCTGGACAGATCCACCCTGGCTGCCTCTGCCACCTGCAGACCCTCCCAGTCCAGGTCCCAGGCTCCTTGCACAGATGCTGGGTAGAGGCCCAGGGCATGCAGTGGCGCAAGGTCACAGCCAGCAGCGCTCCCACCTGGGTGCCTGAGCTTCCCCTGTGAGATCGGGGAGCCGGCCCATGGCCCAGGCTCACCACCCACCCAGCCCTTTCTGGGCAGGGCGCCAGGGCTGGGGTGCGCCTGCCAGGGCTCCAGCCTGCAGCCCAGGCCCCCCAGCATGGGGCAGGAGGGGGCGGCTGCTCGCCAGACTCCAGGGAGCCCCAAAACGCAGGCCCCTTTGCCCATAAACATTTACTATGTTGTGAGGGGCTGACATCATCCCTGCCCCACATGGCCCCATGTGAGAGCTCTGTCTGGAGCATGCAGCCCCCACCCCTCTGCCCCAGCAGCCCCCTGTGGTGGGGTGGGGGCCCTTCCGGAGGCCACACCGCGCTGGACAGAGCCCTTCCCAGCCCCGGGTGGAGGGAACAGAAGCCCAGCAGGGGCATTGCAGGAGTCAGGAGGGCTTCCTGGGGGAGGCAGGATGAGCAGGATGCAGAGGCTTTTCCAGGTGTGCTCAAGGGAAGGCATCCCAGGGCCAGGACCTGGCCTGGTCTCCTGCAAGGACAGGTCTGCAGGAGTGCGGGCACCCCATAGGGAACCGGGACAACAGCAGCAAGACGGCAAAGGGCCGGGCCGCCGCTCAGTGGTGCGCAGCTAAACGCTTACCTGGCCTTCAGGGCCGATCCGTCCCCAGCAACCCCTCTCCCACCGCTGGAAAGGTGATGAATGCCTGGTGGTGAATGGCTGCAATTCCAGCTTTCTCAGAGGCTGAGGCAGGAGGATTCAAAATTCAAATCCCACCTGGCAAATTTAGCAGGACCTTGGCTCAAAAAATAAAAAGCGGAGGCCCAGGGTTTCATCCCCAGTGCCTTGCAGGAAAGGGGCCCAGGAGGCTTTCCCGCCTGCCAGGCAGCCTGGCCACCGGGCTCTGGCATTATTCGTTTACTATTATTAGCGATTGTTTGGAAACGAGTGAGCTATTCTTTGAAAGAGTTCCCAAGTGCTCATGGCAATTGGAGCAAAAACAAGCCAAAGGGGAAAGGAAGGAGGTCTCTGGCCAAGATCGTGAGAGCCAGACCATGGGTTCCTTTAAACAGCTGTGAGGAGGGCGGGCAGCTCAGGTGCGTGCTGCCCCGCTGGAGCACCCCGTTCTAACTCCAGCCTCCAGAGGGAAGACAGATCCTTGCGTGTGGGCTGGGGCTGCTTGCTGTGGGGCACTCGAGCTTTGAGAAGGCCCCTCGGGGCTCTTGTCAGAATCTGCCTACACCTGCCCTGATCTGGCTCCCATCATCCCTCACCTGGACGGGCGAAGTTGTCTCCACTCTCACCTCGAAGTTTGTCCTCCTGTAGCAGCCACCAGAGGGCGCTGTGAGCACCAAGTCAGGTCCTCCACCTCTGTCCTCTATGGCTCCTCCCTCCCTGGAGCCAAAGCCCAAGTCCTCCCTGCAGCCCTCAGGACCCTGCACGGCTGCCGTCCCTCCTCCCTCTGCCCCTCGCTCCCTCTGCTCCAGCCACACAGGCCCCTCGCTGCTCCTGCAACTTAGGGCTCCATGCTGCCCCAGGGCCTTTGCACAGCTGTGTCCTCTCTGGAATTCTCTTCCCTCAGATTCCCCTACAGCTTCTCCCTCAGTATCTCCTTTAGTTCTCAGCTGAAATGTCACCTCCTCTTCCCACCCAGTGAGCTACACTCCACAACCCTCTGGTTCTAGTATTGCCCATAGCCATTCCGGCTTCTAAAGCTCACATCCCTGCCATCAGACATTGTTGTCACACATGTCATTTAGCAGAACGTGTACCTCCCCAGGGGCCAGGCTGGATCCCGTCTGTTGCATCCGTGGTTCTGCCCAGCACCCAGCAGGGCTTGACAGATGCGTGGGACAGGGGGATGGACGGACAGTGGGTGAGTTGGGTGAGGCCACAGCCTGCCAGCTCTGCTCCACCCCAGGACTCCAAGCTGTGAACCTGCGCCGGTGAACGTGACTGAGGGAGTCCCCACCAGGGCTCAGAGTCTGGAGTGCAGTGAGACTTAATAAAAATGAACAAAGCCAGGTGCAATTCTGTCATCCCAGCACTCGTGAGAGGCTGAGGCAGGAGGGTCCCAAGTTCAAGCTCAGCCTGGACAAGTTTGCAAATTAGTGAGATCCTGTCTCAAAGTAAAAAAGGGCCCGGGATGTAGCCCAGTGCGAAGGCCCTGGTTCCACCCCCAGTACACCAGAAGGGGAGCTGAATCCCCAGGAGAGTCACAACAAGCAGAGGGGCAGCCAGGACGCAGGAAGTCCGGGCAGGGACCCTCGGGCCGTGTCAGGCAGCCCCAGCCTCAGCCTCAAAGCCCGAAGCCAGTTTGGTCATTGCTTTAGGGGGCCAGGATTTGCCACCCCCTAAAACCCCAGCTTGACATCTGAGTCTCAGAACCCAGGGAAGCCCCAGGGCAGCCCTCAGCTGCTCCAGTCACCTTCCCACCGCCCCCTGTGCTCCTCGGAATCTGGGCGCCAAAGGAGGCCTGGCTTGGGGGGTCCGAGGGGCCAGGGGCTCAGTCAGGCCTGGCTGGCCCCGCCCCACCGCCAAGGGCCCCCGCTGGGCTCTGAACAGTTGCTGACCGAGCAGGGAGCGATGAGGGGGAGGTGTGAGCCAGGCCAAGGGCAGGGCTCCGGCGGGAGGGGTGCGTCCCGCCCACTCGAGGGGCTGCCAGCCTCCTCCCCGTTCCTTAAAACCCTGCAAACTCCTTTTGCCCATTTTTCACAGCAGTCTCCCTAAAATACATTGTATAGCTTTTTTTCACCCCAATAGGTAAAACAGACCCAGGCCACAGAATTCAAAAGATTCCAAAAGGAGGGGCCGGGGATTTAGCTCAGTGGTTTCACCGCCTGCTGCGTAGGCGCAAGGACCGGAGTTCGATCCCCGGTACCAAAAAAAAAAAAAAAGATTCCAAGAGCTGTTGAGAATAAATCTCAGCCCCCTGCCTCCCACCACAGCCCCCAGAGGCCACCTGCCAGCCCACTTTCTTATTTCTCCTTTTCAGTGTATCATGCCCAAACGGATGGCTTTATTTTCTCTTCTGCCATGGAAACCGTATCATGCCCCCACCTCTCCATTCCAAAGTTTTCAGTCCGGCTCCCATTTAACAATGCATCTTGGACTTCCTCCTGACTGGTAGGCACCCTCCTCCTCCTCCTCCTGTCCTCCTGGCAGTGTAATATTCTATTCTGTGGCTGGATGCCCCTCGTGAAAGAACACTTCATTGTTCTCAGGAGTCTGCTACACAAAGCTCCTGTAGCTGGTGTCCCCTCCCCTAACCACTCTGGTGACACTGGGGATTGAACCCAGGGAGCACTCAGCTATGACCTCAGCCTTCCTTATTTTGAAATAGGGTCTTGCTGGTGTCTAACTTACAATCCTCCTGCATCAGCCTCCTGAGTAGCTGGGATTACAAGCACACCCATACATTTAGTTCTCGTACACATACTTATTTTTGGTACCAGGAATCAAATCAGGACCTTGCCTTTGGGAGGCAGGCAGCAGAACCACTGAGCTAAATCCGTGGCCCACCCATACATTTTTTTCCAATGATACAGCTTTTTATTTAAAGGTAAAAGTTTAAATTTGTCATGCTTTTGCACAATTAATGTGATCTTTGCTGTTGTATACCCAAACATTTTTATAGACTCATGCAGTATGGTTTTTCTAGCCTAAAACCTGTGTGGTCCTGTCCGCCTAGGCATCTCTTCCTCACCCAGCCCCTAGTGACAAATGATCTTTACCTGTGTCCCTAGCTTTGCTTTTCCCAGAATGTCAGTTGGAATCATACACCATGTAGCCTTTTCAGATTGGTATTTTTTTCATTTAATAATATGCATTTAGCTGCATGTGCTGGCACACGCCTGTAATCCCAGCATTCAGGAGGCTGAGGCAGGAGGATCGCTGCAAGTTCAAGGACAACTTGGGCTGCATATCGAGACCCTGTCTCAAAAAACAAACACAACAAAACAGCACCAGCTGCGGGCAAGATGGAGGTGGTAGGAGCTAGTGTTGAGCTGCTGCGGTACACAGAGGGGCTGGGAGTCAGGGTTCAAACGACTGGGAGGGGGTTCCAGGTAATCCTTGGGACCCAAGGGTCTGCGGGCCAGTAGAATCTGTGTGGCCTATTGAGGAACCCAGAGTCGTGCTTTAGAGTAGGAAGCGCTGGGGCCAAGGGAGTCTAGGGTTGAGGGGACGTACGCTGCCCTTAGGGTCCTAAGTGCACGGGATCGGGGTCATTTGGGGCCCCAGATGGTGTCCTGATTGGGATTGGGATTTCTCCAAACATCCATACTCACTTCAAATTGTAAAAAAACCCCAAACAAACAACCAGAATACAGGTATACAGGTGTTTGTCATCAAAAACAAAAACAACAGGGCCAGGGATTTAGCTCAGTGGTTCCAACGCCTGCCTCACAAGCGCAAGGACCCGAGTTCGATCCCCGGTACCAAAAAAAACAACAAAAAACAAAAACAACAGGGGCCGGGATTTACCTCAGTGGTTCTGGCGACTGACTCGAAAGTGCAAGGTCC